CTCTCGGTAGCTTGCCGGGCTCTCCGAGAGGGGCGGAGGAATCGAACTCGGGTCGGCCATGTTGGCCGCTTGTAAGGCGAACGCCCTACCCGCTGTGCTATCGCTCCAGCCCGAGAATGAGTAAGTGATTACTATTCACCAGTGGTTCATGGTTACCTGAAATAGATTTTGGCAGCCAGGACAATAGAGGGAGCCTTTGTCAATGTTGGATGCCCAGGAATAGCTAAGTGGTTAGAGGGCCTGCCTGGCAAGTAGGAGGCCCTGAGTTGAACCCTTAGCACCACCCCACATGAATGAATGCAATTCTTGGCACTGTCAAGGTGATCCCTGTTGCCACAGTAAGTGTAACCAAATGGATACACTTGGTTACACTTAAGCACCCTTATCAAGAGTGTGACACCCAATAGGCGCCCCATCAAGTGTGTGACTCCTGGACATTGCAACCACAACAAATGAAAGAAAAATCTTGTATTCTGTTCATTTTCACTCTTCCTAGAAGAGAACAAAGGTGAAGGGAAAGATAATTAAATTAGCCATAGCAAACGCATGCGCCAAGAGATGACAATCATGAGTGCAGGTGAAATTTCTCTTAAAAAGTTAAAGGTGGGGGGTGGGGGACGGAGCAATAGTATAGTGGGGAGGATGTTTGCCTTGCAAGCAGCTGGCTGGGTTCGGTCCCTGGCATCCTATGTGGTACTCCAAGTACCACCAAGGAGTAATTCCTGAGTGCAAAGCTAGTAGTAACTCCTGGGTGTGGCCTCCCCCCAAAATAAAACAAAACATAAAAGTTAAATAAGGGGCCAAAGTGATATCTCAGTGGACTGGAGCACATGCTTGGTATGCAGGGGGGCCTATGTTTGGTCCCAGGTACAACATAAGGACCCTGAAGCACCACTAGGAGGAGTAGAATCTGAGCATTGACTGGCAAAAACCCCTGAACACTGCTAGGTGTGGCCCCCCAAAAAATACCAATTCTATTACTATTGATAATAATGTTAAAAAAAAAAACTATTGGAAGGTAAAGGAAAGGGACCAACACCTGTCTGATCCTTGGAAGGAGGAAAATCTTTTAGGTCAAAATCCACATCTGGGCAGCTTTGTATTGTGATTTTCTCAGTTCACAAGGTGACTCAGACTCCTTGAAAAGGTTGATGAAATGAAAGCAATACCAGTGATAATCATCCTCTGTGCAAAAGAAGAAATGAAAGTTTATTGATACTAAAACCAAATTGAAACCCCTGTGTAAAAGTTTTCTTCCTCTCTCATTGTGAGAGTATTTTCAAGTTAGAGCAAGGGAAAAAAGACAGAAGAATGAGAAGCCGCAGCACCCTTTGAACAAATACAGTGGTGAGGTATGAACAGGCATGTTAACATAAGAAAACCTACTTTCAGTAGTGATGACTTACAATGTAAAAGGTGTGGTTGAAGAACAAGAACAATCAGTGCTGGTGAGGAATTGAGGAGAAAGGGACTCTCCTTCATTGTTTGTTGGTGGGAATGCCGACTGGTTCAACCTTTTTCTGAAAATAATATGGACATTCCTCCCCCAAACTGGACATGGAGCTCCCATTTGACCTAGCAATACCACTTCTGGGAATATACCCTGGGGCTCCAAAAACACACAGCAGAAAAGCCATCTTCACTTCTATGTCCATTACTGCACTGTTCACATCAGCCAGAATCTGGAAACAACCGAGTGCCCGAGAATAGACAAGTGAATAAAAAGTGGATAAAGAAACTATAGTACATCTATATAATGGAATACTATGCAGTTGCTGGGGGAAATGAAGCCATGAAATTTACTTATAAATGGATGGATGTAGAGAGTATCATGCTGAGTGTCATAAATGAGTCAGAAAGAAAGGGACAGATGCAGAATGACTGCATTCAGTTAGCGGATATATATATAAAAAAAAATAGTATAAGGCTAGTTGTATAAGACCAGGGAAAACAGGGGCCAGAATGGCTGGTCAATTGTTAGAAGCTTGCCACAAGTGTGTGTATGTTGGGGGTTTGTTGGGGGTTTGTTGGGGGCGGGGGGGTACGAAGGGCAGTTTGGATAGAAAAGGGACCAGTACGATAATAATAGTTGGAAATGATCACTCTAGGCAAGAACTGAGTGTTCAAAGTATGTAAAGGTATATGCATGATAACTTTTCAGTATCTGTATTGCAAACCATAATGCCCAAAAGGAGAGAGGTGGAGGGAGAGAGAGAGAGAGAGAGAGAGAGAGAGAGAGAGAGAGACAGAAAGAGAGAGAAAGAGAGAGAGAGGTAGAGAAAAGAAAAGTGCCTTCCATAGAGGCAGATCGGAGTGGGAGGTGAGAGGGAAACTGGGAACATTGGTGGTGGGAAATGAACACTGGAGAAAGGATGGGTGTCACTGTATGACTGAAACCCAATCAGGGGCAACTTTATAACTGTGTATCTCAAGGTGATTCAAATACGAAATAAAATGTAGGGTTGCAAAAAAAACAGGAAAGCAAGAGAGTTGGGTATTTGGGGGTTTTATTTTATTTTTTGTACTTTTGTTGTTTTGTCTCGCTTTTAGCCACACCTGGCAGTGTTCAGGGTTTATTCCTGCCTCTCACCTCAGGGACGATGCCTGGTGGTGCTCTGGGGACCGCATGAGGTGCCAGGGATCAAACTCAGATCAGCTGTGTGCAAGGCAAATGGCCTACCCGCTGCACTCTAGCTCTGGCTCATGGTTTTTGTACGTTTTTAAGGGAACAGAAAGAGAAACATTTGTTAAGTCATTCAGGTAGTTTTTTTTTTTCTCATGACCATGGTCATGAGAAAAATCACTTTATGAGAATGACCTTTACTTTCATTTTCAGTTCCATTTAATAGAATTATTGAGAAGGAGGGAATTGCTCTGTCATTTTTCTATATTTTTCCTATATGACTCACAGCTTATTTTCAGGGGTGGGGGGGTGTCCCTGATTTCCTCCACTACTACCTTTCTGCTTAGGTGATTTTTTTTTGTTATGAAATAATTTATATCAAATTCTCATTTCCTTTTCAATGTCTTTTATAGCTATTTTTTGTGTGATTATCATGGGGAGTACATTTTATAGGCTGAAGTTTTAACACTCAAACCAGAACACTTGAGGGAGTCAGTTTGGGGAGGATGACAGCAGTACTCAAGTGTTACTCCTTTCGCAGTGCTCCAGGGTCATCCCTGGTGGTGCGTGGGGATCCAGACAGTGCTGGGGACAGGACTCAGGCCTCCCCTCCTATATAAAAAGCACACGATCCAGTTCTTTGAGCTCTCTCCTAGGCTCCTCAGAGATTGAATTTATACCAGCAGGGGCCGTAGAGACAGTATAGAGGGAAGGTGTTTGCCTTGCACGCAGCCGACCCAGGTTCAGTCCCCAGAATCCCATGTGGTCTCCTGAGCACCACCAGGAGTAATTCCTGAGTGCAGAGCCAGGAGTAAACTCTGAGTAATCACTAGGTGTAGCACATAAACCAAAAAGAAAAGAAGACTCATACCCGCAAAATGCTGTCTTTTTATGGCATCATCCCCAACCCATTTGATTGTCATTCTTGATGTCAAAAATTACATCTTAATTTTACAGGCATAAGCTAATTGTCCTTTAAATTTATTAGTTCCTTAATTATGTAGATCAGAAAATCTCAAAGTTTTACTATTAACCTTTACAGCAATAATTTTTAAATGTGTATGTCTTGGGTTGAAGAGATAGAACAGCAGGGAGGGTGTTTTCCTTGCACGCAGCCAACCTGTGTCCAGTCCCTGGCACCCCATATGGTCCCGGAACCTGCCAGTGCTGATTCCCTGAGCACAGAGCCAGAAGTAAACCCTGAGCACCACTGACTGTGTCCCCCAAATAAACAAAAATGTATTTGTCTCTTAAATAACATAGAAAACTGTAGGATAACATTGGTTTATCCTTTCTCCCTTGCCACAGGGAGCTTTGTGTGTGGTTATCATGGGGAGTACATTTTATAGCCTGAAGTTTTAACACTCAAACCAGTGTTTAATGGGTTACACCCACCACAGTGTTCCCGAGTCACTCCCATTCCTTTGTTTATCTGTAAACTCTTCTCTGTGCTCTCTTCCCCAACCAGTCTATCACCATTTTTTCCTAATCAGATTCTGCTAACTTTTAAGGTCAGATTCTTCTAAGGCCACTGAACTTGTATTATAAGTTAAATATTGCTCTTTTTCTTCTCTTATGTCTTTTGCATAGTTTACTTTAAAGCAATGTCCTTTTTGTATAGACACAGGAAGACAGTTAATATTATGTCTTTGTAACTTGGGAGTTAACTGACTCCGAAAAATATTCACTCCCAGGCATCTGCTTTCTCGACTGAAGCTTCAGTGGGTCCTGACAAGGGACTGGATGCACCCAGGGCAAGCTGTGCGCTACCCTGGCATCGAAATGGGCCAGGCCAAAGCGCCACAATATTAACTATAAATTAAGAGCATAGTCATAGACAAAGTCTGTCATGATCCAAAGAGTAACAACTGGACAAGGTCCCTGCTGGGCTTAGGAAGACTAACGTGGTCTGAGGACTGTGGTCTGGAATATCTAGTGAGACGTCCTGAGGAAGAACCAAACTTTAAGCTTGTGCTTATTGCGCTCATTCAAAATGACATTGCTAGAAATATTAGAAGTAAATTTACTACAACTATTTAAGTGGATTACTAGCTGAGGAAAGAAGAAAGCAACACACCCTGGATGGAATCCCACCCTTGGACTGATCTCCTAGTAATCTGGAGTAATCTCCTTAGATGAGATTTTGTCCTTGAGTTAATCTCCTGGAGGAGTGGCCTTACCTCTCTTTGTTGATTTATTAATATTCAACTCCACCTTTGTATCCTCACCCTACATGAATTCTATATAAACTAGGCTGTAAGAGTGGGCTGGGGGGATCCAGAGAGAGAAAAACAGGAGAATCAGAAGAGAATGAAGATGAGATTGGAATAAACTGCAATTGATACCAACCAGCCGGGGCCCTTGGTCCTTCCTTCACCTGTCCATCGCCATTGACCTCCCCGTGGGAGATGGCATGGCTTTTCATATTTTATTTTTTGAATACACAGAAAACAAAAGTGGAGCTACAACCATTGTTATACGACCAGCTCCCTGCCTGCCTCTCCAGCCCATTTCCTTCCCTTCCCTTGGTTGTTGTTTTGGTGTCAGGGAGTTACACACTTGGTTGTAGTGGGCCAGGGGTCACACAGCCCGCCTCGGGTTTGCACACTCACAGGCTTGCACACTCACACTCATGGTTGCAGCTCTTTTTGTTTTGATTTTGGGTCACACTTGGCGATGCTCAGGGCTTACTCCTGGCTCTGCACTCAGGAATTACTCCTGGCAGTGCTCGGGGGACCAGATGGGATGCCGGAGATTGAGCCCGGATTCACCTCACACAAGGCAAATGCCCTCCCTGGTGTACTATGGCTCCGGCCCCCTTGGTTGCAGTTCTTGCACACTACTGTGATGTGCCCGCAGTTGTTGTGGGTTGTATCCTGCAAATCACACCCACAGTGCTAGAGATGGCACTTGGAGGCATGGGGCAGTGCCAGGGATTGAATTTAAGGCCTCGTGAACACAAAGCAGGCATTCAGCCACTAGTCACATCCTTGGACCAAGACTGTAGCACTGCACTGTCCTCCTGCTGTTCATTGATTTGCTTGAGCGGGCACCAGTAACATCTCCATTGTGAGACTTGTTACTGTTTTTGGCATATCGAATATGCACAGGTAACTTACCAGGCTTTGCCGTGCGGGTGAGATACTCTCAATAGCTTGCCAGGCTCTCCGAGAGGGGCAGAGGAATCAAACCCAGATAGGCCGCGTGCAAGGCAAACACCCTACCCGCTATGCTATAGCTCCAGCCCAACCAAGACTGTATGATGCCAAATATATTTACTTTTATTAAGCTATTTCTTTCTCCATGTGATTTCAAGTTTCTGTCTAACATCTTCATGTCTTTCTTCAGTCTTCTGCAGTTTTTGATGAGAAATCCACCTATAATCTTATAAATCCATTAAAAAATACATGAATGAAGCAGTTCTTTCTTGCTGCTTTCAGAATTTTCTCTTTGTCTTTCTATTCATCTTCTCGAACTTTAGCTAGGGATTGGAAAGAAAACTGAGTGTGTGCTTTACCTTGGTTTGATCCCCAACACTGCATGGTCCTGTGAGCACTGCCAGTACTGGATTTCTGAGCACCACCATGGGTGGCCCACCCCCAGCCCTAAAGGTTTTTTGATTTTTGTTTTTTTCATTATGTATCTTGGAGGGATGGAAATTTCTCTGAGTTCATCTTCCTGGGAGTTGTTGATGCTTATATTCATGTACTTCATCAAAGTTGTGAGGTTTTCAAGCATTATTTCTTCATATCGTCTCTCATTTTTTCACTGTGAGAGTTTCCCATGTTGATCTCTGCTTATGCTGATCCTTAAGTCTCTTTATGATCTGTTCACTTTTCTTCCATCGTTTTTCTTTCTGTTCTTCCAATTTAGTAATTCCCTGTGTCCCTTACTCAAGTTCATCGATTCTCTCTTCTGTATAAACAAAATTTGCATTTAAACCTATCTAATAAATTTTGCACTTTAATTATTGCTATTTCTAGCTCCCAACTGTCTTTTTGGGGGATTACTCTTCATTTATATTTGCATTTTGTCTAGATATCATTTTCTTGACTTTTCCTACAGCTTCTCTTTGTTCTCTGAGCATCTGTGACAGTGGTCATTTAAAAATTTCTCCACTATATCTAAGCATAGATGTACTTTCAGGACTGGTTCCTATATTTATTTATTTTTCAGGTGAAAACACGTTTTTGCTTATTTGCATACCTTGTAGATTTTGGGGGGTTGAAACCTGAACATTTGGATGATTGTGATAACTCTGAAACTCAGATAATCCCTCTTCCCCAGGGTTACCCATATTTTTGTTTCATGCTTTTAGTTTTATTTTTTTATAGTTTGTCTCTGTGCCAAGGATTAGCCTATGGTGTACATATATGGTCTTCAGAAGATCTCTTTCTGAGTCTCTGAGTATACACGATCACTTACTAAATTCTACCATGCACGTCGTTGTTGTTTAAGGTCCTTGTGTTTAATATCTGACTCACAAAGAAGGAAAAAAGCAGAGGAGGGAAGGAAAATCAGTTGTCCCTTTAAATCACCTAGCAGTCACTTCAACCTGGGGGTTGTGGGGGTGGGAGGGTGGGGACAGGCCTTTCAACCACAGGCCTCAACTGGAAGGAAATTGCTGGAAGCAGCTGCTGGGTGTTCCATCCTGCAGTGTTTGTTGTTGATCTCTTGCAGCTACAAAGAACGGTCACACTAGAGGCATCCAGTGACCAGCGGACTACCCTTCCTCACAAGGGCCAAGAGCCCAGAAGCCAGAAGATTACCATTTTAAGCATTGCTATGGCCAGTGAATGCTAACCTCCTGGGGCTTCTGTGTCCCGGAAGCCAGAGCTTCAGATGTCAGAAGACTGGGGAGGGTTGGAGTTGGGTCACCGTGGCAGAACGCGAGGAAGAATTTAGTTATCATTGAGGGAGGCATTTGGGCTTCCTGGACTCCTTGTGTAGTACTAGTGAGATGCTGGCAAACCTTCCCACCTCCTAAAAAAAAAAAAAAAAAGAAAGATGGAAAGGCAAGGGGAAGGAAGGGAAATCTAGGAAATAGAAGCAGTGGGGAAGGGGGCGGGAGGGGGGGGGGGGAGCCCTGATTTCTAGTGCTTTCTGGTTCTTGCAGTGTAAATGCTTCCCCTGGGCTATTCTCAGCTACCACAGTGACATCACTGCATACAGGTTGTTGGAAGAGTTTGAAGCTGGCCAGCAGGTCTGACCCAGCACTGGCTGGCTGTCAATTCTTTGCATTCAGGGTCAGTCCCCATTACCTGCCTCCCAGTTTTAGGCAGTGTGGGCAGGGGATGGGGGTGAAGGGCTCTGTTCCTTACCATCAAAATATCTGTAAAACAGGGGATTGGAGAAATCATACAGTGGATAGGACACATGCTTTGCATGTAGCTGTCCCGGATTTGAACCACAGTATCCCATATGGTCCCCCAAGCCCTGCCAGGAGTGATTCCTGAGTGCAGAGCCAGGACCCCAGATATGATCCCAAAGCCAAATAAATAAATAGATTTTAATCTTTAAAACATTCAAGTAGAATATTAACCTGAAAGACAGTCTCCTCTAAAACATCCAATGCAGATTTTCCCAATTCAGGCACCGGGGTTTCGAAACACTTACTACTCCTTTAATTTCCTGGAAGCTTGAAAATCGGGGCTGGGGGTGGGGGTAGAGTATTGGCCCAAATTAGGTTTTTACCAAAAATAACCTATTATAAAGCAGGGCAAACATAATTATAGACTGGTCATAGGAGCCCCATCGCGATCAAATATTCCCCTATCTCTTCTGCAAGCCCCAGGAAACTAACCCAGGCCGATTAGAGTTACAGTGATTTTGAACCAGGAGTGATTTCTGAGTGCAGCCCTGAGCACTGCCTATTGTGGCCCTAAACCCCAAGAATGTCATTACAGTAAATGAGAATGTTTCTCTGCTATAAGGGACTCATGTTCTGTGGTATATGTTGCACATCTCACTCCATCAGTCTGCTCACTTTTAATCACTGTTTATGACAAACGCACCTGCTCAGACTGGCCGGAAATCCAGCCTTTCCCTGAGGCCTTCCCAGGACAGATCTAACCACAGGAGGTCAGAACAAATAACCCCCAGACATAGTGATGGCATTGCATTCTGTCCTGGACCCAACCTGGCTTCTGGCACAAACCTTTCCCTATTGGGTCTTCCCTCAGTTTGCAAAGTTCTATGCCAGCAGAGATTGTTTGAGAAGTTTGGGAGATCTCCTATTGGTTCCTTCCATCTTCCTTCTAGCAGCAAACACACTTCCAGAAAGGCCTGGCGAGTTTCTGCAGCTTAAGCATTTCAAGTTCTACCATTGACAATTTTGATTGACTTGGAAGAACATGTACAATCCATGACCAGACCAGAGTATACTGAAAAAATAATTTATTTGATTGTAAATCAGAAATTTGATTTTTTAATGTTGAAGAATAATTATGAACAATGTCTTGAATGTATTGATTTAGGATTTAAATTTAAATTATTTTTTTAAAAGCAAGATTCCATAAAAGTCCTTGATTCTTTGAGGATAGATCACTGCTTTGGCTCAGGCTATAACCTCTGTACTTGTAAATGGATCCTAGACAAGTTGAATTTTAGAGAAACAAGACTCCTAACTGATGGAGTTGGTCTCCTTGTTCTTTGAGGATAGAACACTGCTTTGGTTCAGGCTATAACCTCTGTACTTGTAAACGGACCCCAGACAAGTTGAATTTTAGAGAAACAAGACTCCTAACTGATGGAGTTGGTCTCCTTGTTCTTTCTTGACGCTTACTCTCAGGATCCACATGGACTGGGTTTTATTGGCCAAGTGATAAGGTTCCCATGGTCCTTTGATATTGTCATGACCAGGACTGATGCTTGCACACACTTGGTTGTGGGGCTTGCCTAGGGTGACACCATTGCTACTCACACACTTTGGTTGTCTTGTCTGAAGAATGCATACTTTGGTTGTGATGCCAAGGACTCTCAATGGCAATGCTACTAGGATCCCATTTGGCATGTGGGGTGATGCCTGGTACCCCCACCATTAAGTTCTCCTCAGTCCCTGGAGCTGGGAGATCTGGGGGGCAAGGAGTGAAGAGTAGGAGGCACAGGGAGAGCCCTGGCAGGGAAAACACAGATCTCGTGTTATCAAAAAGGTCCAGTGTTCTGAACACCAAGCCAGCACAATGGTGATTCTAATAAATCACTTGAGAATGAAAATAAATGACCTACGCAGGAACACAAGCAAAATATAAATATATGTGCACGGGTCAAAGTTGCCTCCCAACTGCCTCTGCAGTGAGTTGCTGAGCTTTAAATATCATAGAGGTTTCTAGAGCTTCTCTTAGAGAAGGGAACTGAACTCAAAGCTGTTCCATCAGAGGACTTGGGCCTCTGATACCTGCCTTTGTAATAAAATGAAATGAATGAACCGTTTCACAAAAGGCATCTGGTTATGACATGTCAGTAGTGCAGGTGGGGTGAGGGGAAATGAGAAGCTGTTTGATGAAAGGGCTTCTCTCGTCCATCCCTTGATGTCAGCCTTCCAAGTAAAATGAGGATAAGAGCAGCAGCTGGTAGGCCACCACAAAATCCAGTCCTGATGACCACCTGCCTGCATGTCATGCCAGGGAAACATCACTCTGGGCAAGCTTCTTCTGTTCACTGTCAGCATTTGTCTTCTCCAACACCCTCTGTTCAAAGACCCTAAGACAAAAGTTACAGAGTCTGTCTGACACATTGTAATTCAGGCCATTCAAGAAATCTTTCATTCAGATTTCCCCACTGCTCCCTAGGCATTCATGGGAGGTGGGGGGAGGCTGAAGACCACCCATGTGGCTTCCCATTGAAGGCACGGATGGCTTTAAATACCAACTCCAGGTCCCAGGCCCCTCCGAAGTGGCATTTCCCCACCGTTATGAGCCCTTCTCTTTCCACACGTCTTAGCTGTTTCAAGGCAAACTCTCCTTGACTCTCTGTTTCCACTTCACCCTGAGCACCCACTGCCCATCGGTGACTCCAAACATCCACCCCCATGTTGGGAACCTTAGTCCAATCTTTCATATATCCAAACAACATCCTGATGAGAAAAGGACCTGGATGCCATGAAGTCTGAAGCCACATTCTACAGAAACAGTCTGAGGATTGCCAAGGTGGCCTGTGTTCTCACAACCGTTCTCCTGCTGCCAAGCCACTCTGGGTTGCCTGAGACTCAGCAAAGACAGGAAGACAGTGAGACCCAAGAGACAAGTGCCCACAATTGTACTTTCTTGTGAAACACCTGCTGTAGCACCCACTTGCCCAGTGGCACATGTCGAGTATTTCTGGCTGTTAATTGGCCTTTGGTTCAGCTGATTGCATCTCCCCCCAAACCTAAAATCGAGTCAAAATCACTGGGAAATAATCTCTGACCCCCATAAATTCATTCTCCCATATTAGAAGGCTTGAGGTTAAAAGGAAGAAATAAGTTGCACTTGTCCCACTGGTATTTGATTAGTATCCCTTGGCATTAGAATTATGTGATTTTTTTTCTGATTAAGTAGCCAGAATAATACTCTCTCGAATTCAGAAGCCCAGGAGCACAATTCCAAGTCAGACATTATTCCTAACCAAACTATACTCTTTGGTCTGCCAAGAGACCTTGACTATCTTAATATCAGACGTCTCGCCTATGTGATAATCCCAGCAGTATTCTGGGGATAAGATCTTGGTGGGTTTGTGGAGAAGGAAATACTTGTTTAAGTGGCTCTCATCATGCCACTCGGCTTCTATGTCATTTTTCTTGTCCTGGAGGATCCCCTCGTAGCACGCCTGGGTGATGTTGAGGACCTGTAGGGGAGTTCCCCCAAAAATGGCCGCGTGGTAATAGAAATCACCCTGGCCAAAGGGGATGTAGGCAGCGGATTCCTTCCTCCTCTCATAGGTAAACTTAATCGGGTCGGCCTTGTACCACCAGGCCTGCAGCTGGGCCACTGACTGACCCAGAGTCTCCAGCCCGAAACTGTCCTGGAAGACCTGGTCCACATCCATGCAGAAGAGGAAGTCCACCTCGTGCTGGATGTGGGCGGCGATGTGCTCCCCAATGGTCTTCATGCGCATCATGCTGATGTCCTGCCAGCGCTTCTCAGGCTTGACCCTGAACACCTTGAAGGAGTGCAGGGGACTCAGCTCGATCATAGGCACGCGGGAGACATCGTCCACCATGATGTAGAAGATGACCCTGTGGCCCACCATGAAGTACTGGTTGGCAGACGTCAAGAACTCCTCCAAGTAATGCTCGATGTACCTGAGACAAAGCACAGAAGGTGGGTGGGATTAAAAATCTTTTCTTTGGAGTTTGACAGCAGAGGAGAGAGGGGGTACCCTCCACCCCCAGGTAGCCTTTTTACCCAGGGGGATCTCTGTGAGCTGTAATATTCCCTGCAGCTGTTCAACTCCTGAGGGAGCAGGGCTGAGCAGGAGGCTGAGTTGACTGAAATAAAGAGGCAATGGAGGGCTGGAGTGATAGTACAGTGGGTAGGGCATTTGCCTTGCATCCAGCCGACCCAGGTTCAATTCCCAGCATCCCATACAGTTCCCTGAGCACTGCCAGGAGTAATTCCTGAGTGCAAAGCCAGGAGTAACCTCTGTGCATCTCCAGGTGTGACCCAAAAATAATAATAATAATAATAATAAAAGAGGCAATGTACTGTCATCTGCTCACTTAACTTTCAGGGGTCGTATGTCTCAGTTGGCTCAAATGCCAGACAGGCCAAGAGAGTGGCATCCTTTGCCCCAAGTCTTATTGAGGAAAAGCTGGTGAACTGGCACCTGACAAAGGGTACGTCTAAGATGGACGGCCTCTTGATTGGATGTCTAAGGCTTAATCATGGTAATACAAAACACTGAGCATGCTGTCAGCTAACACGGCTGTCCTGTTAGATCATTAGCGTTTCTTTGTTATGGAGAGACATTACAATCTACTCACCTAATGATTTGTGGTCTGTTATAGACTCGTTAATTGGAACCAATGTGGTGGCCCCCAGACTTACTCATTTTATAATTGGGAGCATGGCTCCTTTAATTAGCACCTGGGTGCTAGTTCTTAGGTCTCTCAAAACCCCAGCCTTGACCGCCTGCTGCTATGGTTGATGTGACCTTCAGGGGGAATATTTGGCCTAATCACTGCCAAGGCAGTCTTATCTAAGTTCCTCTGGCACAGAAGGGACTGGAAGTTTCCCTTCCACTTGCCAAATGGCAAGTGTCAGCCTCTAACTGATCACCCCCAAATACTAACCCAGTCAGGTATCTCCCTTCTAAGACCTCACCAAATGCCAGAGAAAACCTCCTCTGGGCTTACCCCAGTGTAATGGTTATCTTCCTATCTTTTGAAAAAGATTAACTTATGTTTAGTGTTTTAAGAGTCACAGCAATGTTGAGTCAAAAGCCGGGTTTTTTCTTCTCCACCTTCACTTCTTTTTCATACATCCTACCCTCAGTCCCCAGCACAGTTCTGCATCGTCACCATCCAGCAATGAAGCAGTACATTTCTCACAATGAACATTCCCTGACATAGCTGGATCACCCTACAGCCACAACTGACAGTAGGAGTCACTTTCAGACAAGTGTATGGAGAGCATCTATCATCATGCATTGTCATACAGGTCACTTTTGCTGCCCTGTGACCCCCTCTGTGCTCTCCCTATTTACCTCTTCCCCAATCCCAGTCTCTCTTCCCCTTCCCAATGCCTGGCAACTGCTGATTTTTTCGCTATCCAAAATTCTGCCTTTTCCAGAAGCTCAGAGAGACGTGATCACACAGTACATAATCATGTCTTCACATTGGTTTCTTCCACTTGGTTATAAATAGCCAAGTTTCCTCGGGGTCTATGCAGGACTGAATGGCATGTTATTTATAAGTGCCAATAACATCCACTCTCTTAGCTATGACCCATTCACTTCCTGAAGAACACGGTGAATGCTTCCAAAGACTGGCCTCAGGAATAAAATCGCTGGAAACATCTGTCTGCAGATGTGTGTGAACGTCGTCAATTCCTTAGACTAGGAGGGCAGTTACTGGAGCTCCCCAGTTCCTGGTGGCTGGGCAGGGGAGGGTAGAGCAGCTGTAGTTCCTGTAAGAATCTGCCACACAGCCCTCCAAAAGGGCTGCACCCTGTGACATTCCCACCAGCAGGGAAGGAGCGTTCCCAGGACTCCCCCTTTGGGTTGGAATCTGCTATTGCTAGTGTTTGGGAATCGCTGTGCCAGGAGGCATTTCCTGGCACTTACACTATTCATTCCACTCATTCAAAAGGTATTCTGCTGATGTTTTCTGGAACCCACACCACACGATGCCTCCTGAAGAGGCATTGCTGAGAGAAGGGAGAGGAGACGTAGTCACATGGCATAAGCCGATGCATGCTGACCCCAGTCTCAAGCTCAGTAAATGTGGATGAACTTGATTTACTAGTCACATCGCTGGCTCACCCCTATACACCGAGCGTGATAGTTATTGGAGCTTTTTCTTAGTCTTGGTTTTAGGGTTACATCCAGTTGATGCTTGCAAGGGAGAGGGTGGAAAGCTACTCTTGCCTCTGTGCTTAGGGCTTAGGGGTGAAACCAGCAATGCCCAGGGGACTGTGCAGTGCTGAGAATCAAACTTTGGCCTCCTATATCAAAGCGTATATGCTCAGCGCATTGAATTATCATTCTAGCCCCGGTAATAAGCACTTTTTTTTTTTGCTTTTTTTGGGTCACACCCAGCGATGTGCAGGGGTTACTCCTGGCTCTGCACTCAGGCGCTACTTCTGGTGGTGCTCAGGGGACCATATGGGATGCTGGGAATCGAACCCAGGTCGGCCGCGTGCAAGGCAAACGCCCTACCCGTTGTGCTATCTCTCCAGCCCCAATAAGCACTTCTTTTTGATTTTTTGTTTCTACTTGTATTCCCTTTCTTTACTCCCAAAATTAAGTATGATTTTAATGTTGGCCTTGACAAAACAAGGATCTACCTTATTGATTCTTGAAATGGAGAGAACATATCAGAACAAAGTAAGGAGAGACTTTGATATGGTTGTTATGGCTGGTGGCCAGGAACTGGAAGTATCTGGAATCTTAAGAGAAAAATCTATTGTGGCCTGAAGCTTGGGGGGAGGGTCCTGGGAAGTGTTGAGAGGCTGGACACTGCTAAGAGATGGAGGCCCTACAGTTTGGCTCCACGCAGCATTATTTGAAAACAAACTGAGCATCACACTTCCTAAAAGTCAAAATACACTCTTGGGAGGATTGTTCAGCTGCCAAGCACAGCCCATCCCCTCTTGCCTGTGAGCTGAGAGCACAGAGCTCTGAAGAGGGTCAACCACACAGTAAGGCTTTGGGACAGTCTGTTCTTTTTAGAAACACCAGGATTGAATTAATCTATAATGTTGCTGGTTTGTCCCCTCTTGCACCAAAGGCTTAGGCGAGCCGAGCCCTCTGTTCCCAGCACCTAATAGTAAGAAAGTCAAAACTTCCAAGTCATCCTTTCCTGTGGAGAAAACAACTTAGGGCCCAAGAGTAGCATACAATGACTTTCTAGGAAGTCCATTAAGATCTTTCCAGAGCCAGGCTCTGCGATAGGCAGGGCTCAACCACAGATTCATCTGTTTCTTTGACTCTCTTTGTCCAAGGCAAAGGTCTCCCTGGGGCTTTCTGAAAAGTACAAAAGGAAGGGATTGGGGTAGATCAGAACATGGACTTACTTTTCTTGGGGAAATTTTTTATTTATTTATTTATTTATTTGCTTTTTGGGTCACACCCAGCAATGCTCAGAGGTTACTCCTGGCTTTGCACTCAGGAATTACTCCTGGTGGCACTTGGGGGACCATATGGGATGCCGAGGATCAAACCCGGGTTGGCCGCGTGCAAGGTCAATGCCATACCCGCTGTACTATCGCTCCAGCCTCCTGGGGAAATTTTTTAAATTAAAAATATTTAATTGGACCACCATGAGATACACAGTTACAAAGTTGTTCATGATTGGGTTTCTCCAAAAGAACCTGATGAGCAAACTGAATGTTTCCCCCCTTTGGTTTTTTGAGTCACACCCAGCGATGCTCAGGGGTTACCCCAGGCTTTGCACTCAGGAAGTACTCCTGACAGTGCTCAGGGGACCATATGGGAGGCCAGGGATTGAATTCGGGTTGGCTATGTGCAAAGCAAATGCCCTCTCTGCTGTATTATCACTCCAGTCCCTGCAAATTGAATTATTTTTAAACTACCATACCAGCTATCGACAATCAACGGGAGGGCCTTTACCTTTTTTACCTTACCAGCTATTACTTTTAAGTAAGCATGATTGAAGTCTGGGGAGAGAGGTTCTAGCCCAGGAAATGGAAACTGAAATAGGAACCCATTGGACCTCTGGAAGTGGGGGTCCAATCAGCCACATCTCAGGAAGCTGGGTCTTTCAGATGAGAGAAGGTGGAAGAGAATGGGGGGGGGGAGGAGAAATAGTATGAGGTAAGGCACTAGATAGTATGCAGTAACCCATGTTTGATCCCTGCTAGTCCCTGGATCCCTACCAAGAGATTCCCAAGTGTAGATCCAAGAGTAAGCCCTGAGCACAACTGTGTGTAGCCCAAAAACCAAACCGGAAGGGATGAGGCAGGAAGGAAAGGCCATGCCCATGTGGGCTATGCCTGGGGCTGGGTCACTTTGTACCCAGATCTTATCCAGAAAGTGAGAGTGACAAGGGAGTGGCCAAATCGCGGGTATATTTGGGAGTGAGGGGGAGAGGTAGGCGTTCAGAGAAAGTCAGGGGAAAAAAAGCAAATGGGGCCATGGGATCAAGGAAAGACCATGGGGCTACAGAGAATAGCCGGCATCTTTACCTGCAACCCAAGGCCCTTTACTTGGAGGTGGGAAGGCATCATTTTGTTCCCAGCCTTTTGGGGTATCTGCAGAGATGAAACGAAAATGACCCGTTTGAAGCATCTCCCCTCTTAGAATTTGGTGGTGAACCATCTCCACTAGTACCGGGGTCCCTTTCCAAACAAGGTGCCAGTCAAAGGAGAGCAGGAGAGAAGGCCAAGTTCCCTTTGATGACCAACGTCTACCTACTTTCCGATAGCAAACACCGTCAACCCTACGGTGACTTTCTGCCTGGTATAGTAGCTGTCCAGGATGGCTCTGTCGAAAGTGCCTTCCCACACGATGGGCGCCTTCCACTCGGTGACTGTCACCACTTCGGGGCGTTTCCTGGGGACAAGAAGAAACACCGTGAGTTGGCACTGCCTTGAGAAGGTAGAGTCAAGACTGGTCCCAAGAAAACAGGCATCAGCTGTGAATGTCCACCTTGGCCCTTGAACTCTGACCAGAGCTCAGCCCCACAGAGTCAACCAGCCTGGGGGACACAAACACGGTTCTGGGACCCAACTTCACAGTGTGTGAGTATTGGGGAGAGGGCGACAATTTCATGGACCAGGCTGTAGGTCTGGAACACCAACTGAGTCACTACAATTCAATTCAATTCCCACACTGCCGACGCTGAGCTCATATGCAGTCCCACAAGACTCCCCCAGGTCACTTGCTCCTCCCCTGCCCCCACGTCATCAGCTCCCTCTATATCTTTTTTCTTCAGATGCCATTGGCAAGGTGGGCGGGGGGCGGTGTCCTTTTGGTTATAGACCAACTGGTTCTGATCCTGAACTCCCATTACCCCCACCTTGGGTGGGATTGATTTGCTTGAGCGCTCACTGATCTCAAAGACACAATCTAGTCCCTAGAGCCACTGAGACGAGATGAGAAGGACAGTGTGTGGGGAAGGGACCCAGAGCATCCTGGACCCCTCAGCCTGTCATGTGACCTCCCTGACCCCAGAACTCCACCGTTTGGATTATGATGGAGGTTTCAGGACTTAGGTTGGTGGGTGAAATCATCAGCCATTGGCAACGAACCCAAGCTTTCACTGCCTCCTGCCCTTAGAGGTAGAGGATGAGGGTGAGTTCCACGCCCAGACTGTCCAGGTTGACTCCCTGGACAGCCAACTCTGATCATTGGGGTGAAGGGTCTAGAAGTCTAAAGTCTCACATTAAAAGACTCCGTTGAGGGGAATCTCCTAAAGGTTTTTGTTTTGTTTTGTTTGGGGGCCACACCCAACGATGCTCAGGGGTTACTCCTGGTAAGACTTCTGGATTCACTCAGGAATCATTTCTGGCCGTACTTAGGGGACCCCATGGGATGCCGAAGACGGACCCTGGATCAGTTGCATGCAAGGCCAGCGCCTTACCCACTGTACTGTCCATCCGACACCCTGGTAAGGGGTTTTAGAGCAGGGGGCCAGAAAGGGGGGACAAAGACCAGAGACAAGTTCTGCCCGCTCACTCCTGAGCAGGCGTCTCTCTCCTAATACGAGATGGCACAGTTGGGTATCCCAGCATCCCAGCATCCCTCCAGCTTAAGTCTTTGTCCCCGGGACTCGAGGTGTGCCCAGAAAATGCTGCTCTGTTTCCTTCAACTGGGAGAGAAGCTTCTCGGGTCTCTGCACTCACCAGGCCCTTCATGGCCGCTTTCTCCCTCTGTCCCTGCCACAGGGAAGAGGCCCAAGGCTCAGAAAGGATCTTCAGCTTGTCCCTGCACAGCAGGTGCTAAGGCGGGAGAAAGGGATCACTCCCCCAAGCCAAGAACTTTCTGTGCAAGCAGGACTGTGTTGAAGGTGTCATCCTTCAGAGGTGGGTGCTTCTGAACCTTCACTTGCTCAAGGAGGAAACTGGAGCTCAGAGCAGTTAAGTAACTGGCCCGAGGTCACACAGGCAGCAAGGGACACATGTGGGACTTAAATCCTACTGGTCCAACTGTGGGGCCTTGCCCTGCACCCCGTTCCCTCTCGCCTCCCCAGCACTAGAAGAAAAGCCACACTCAGCTTCCGGCCCTGCATCTCTGTCTTTTCCTAAGAGCAGAATGGGCAATGCAGAGCATTTTGTTTGGACTTGCTTTTTCTTTTTTTTCTTTTTGGGTCACAGCCGGTGATGCTCAGGGGTTACTCCTGGCTCATTCACTCAGGAATTACTCCTGGTGGTGCTCGGGGGACCATATGGGATGCTGGTTATCGAACCTGGGTCGGCCATGTTGGCTGCGTGCAAGGTAAACGCCCTACCCGCTGTGCTATCGCTCCGGCCCCTGGACTTGCTTTTAAAGTTCCCAGGTGAGGCTTTGCATCACTTAACTATTCCCACCCAGTTTTGTTGAATGGCCCCACTTCAAACCCGAGCACACCCAGGCTTCCAAAGTCTCCCCAAAGTTGCTGTGTGAAAAACTCCCCAGGTCTCACGCCCTCCACCACCCCAGTCCCTTCTCTGGTTCTTCGAGGGGTAAAAGCCCAGTCCTGGGCCAGCCCTGGCCTCAGCCTGGCATTAGAATTCCAGAGGTTTAAGGAAGAGAAAGAGGAGGAAAGGAAAGGAAGGTATACGTACTTAATATGTCACTGAACAGAAATGAAATACGGTACTTAGCACTAAGCACTAACCTCCTTCTCTTGTTCCAGTCCCACATACGGGAACGCTCTCCCCTCAGCCCTGTTTTATAAAGAAAGCAAGCAGAGGACAAGGAAGGGGACCTCGTGGTTCATCTGTTGGTTCTTTGTTCCCTTGGGGGGAGTGCTCAGGAGTGCTCCCGATAGTGCTCAGGAGGCCTGGGGACCCTCCTGGCAATACTCGGCCAACCAATCCCACGGTCCGAGGCTCAGAACAGTGATGTGGTTTTACCCTGACTCAGTGGTGCTAGGGGCCACCAGGGCCATGCCCAGGGGTACAGCTGGTGGTTTTTCCCTGTGATGCCCAGGGGACCATGAGCAGAGCCAGGGATCAGACTCAGGGCCTTGTGCAGGGAGAGGACGTGCCCCGGCCCCTGAGCCATTTCCCGGCCCTGGAAACTGCATCTTTAGCCATTTTACTTACAGGAAGGGCCCAACCCACTTCCCGAGCCCTTTCTCTACCCCAGCTCGGGCACTGAGCATGGAGATCAGAGAGCCAGACCTTCTGCCCCAGACATGGCTCAGGCCTGCACCCAGTGCTCAGGGCTGTGACCTCTGGGCCACCTCTAAAAGATGGAATTATGAAACCAGCGTCCAGCTTGGTAACTTGGCCAGGAAGAGTCCTTTAGGCAGGAACATGAAAGCAGAGATATTAAATATGCATGTCTCATTAAAAATTAAAATGTTCTATTTCCCAGCTGTTAATTATTCAAAGTCACCGGCCATCCCGTTGCGGGAGTGACCCTGGATGCCAAATCATAGCTTGAAACTGCAGGCGGTGGGAACAAGCGTGTGGGATGGGGCCACAGGAGGCCTGTGAGGACGGCTTCTGGATGAACCTCTCCTTGACCCTTGAGCTTCCCTCCCACCCATGGTAAAAAGACAGGGTGAGAGGTCAGGCCTCACTCTAAAGCATTCGCTTCTGCCAGGGTCAGCTGCCAGAGGGGGTCCAGGTCACCGAGACGGATCTCTAACAAAAGGAAGGAAAACTGGAAGAACCACCACCTCCCCATTCCCAGCAAGGCACCAGTTAGATTTTGGACCCCACCAATCAAAAGGGCATCCAGAACGCAGACCACACGCCTGGGCTATGGGCGGTAGCCATTTTCATTGTCCTCATTTGAGGGTTACTTGGGAGACCCAAGGGTAAGGCAGAGGCGGCACTGAAATTCCGTGAACAGAGCAGATGAAAAATAAAAACCGGGGCTGGAGTGATAGCATAGCGGGTAGGGCGTTTGCCTTATATGCGGCAGACCCAGGTTCAATCCCCAGCACCCCATATAGTTCCTCCAGTACCGCCAGGCGTGGTTTCTGAGTGCAGAGCCAGGAGTAACCCCTGAGCATCACTGGGTGTGACCCACAAAGAAAAAATGAAAAATGGAAATCACGGGCCAAGAACTGGGTCATAGACTCTGCGTGCAGGGACCTGGGTCTTTCCCCAGCGTCACATCATCCCCTGAGCATCACCAGGAGCGAGCCCAAGCTGCTGAGCATGGCCTTCTTAACAGAGAGGAATGTGATGGGATGCGCTCACTCCTGAATTTCTTCACACAGAGGCACACTGCATAGCCACAAGGGCAGGACAGACAGACAGACACAATCAGGGATGGTGCCTGGGCAGTGAAGGGAGAAAGCAAGGTGGGGGGAACTCTGCAGGAGGGTGAACAGAAGGTGAATGCATTGGACTTTGGGGTGCAGGCCAGGAAAGGATGAGTGGGACAGAGGACCCCCAAGGCTCCAGCTCGAGGTGGGAAACGAGGAGAAGGCGAGGGGGAGTGGGGCGCCATCCAGTCATACCATGTATGCAGGCAGGGACATCGCCAGGCATTAGACATAAGCTGGGGTTCAGAGGGAACCTGGGGCCAAGATGGAGAGGGGGGTTTCAGCGACAGACGAGGGCTGTAGGGACATTACAGGGGAGAAGGCACTTGTCTTGCCAGTGGCTGACGAGGATTCAATCCCTGACACCATGGAGCCCCCTGAGCACTAGCAGGAGTGATCCCTGAGCACACAGTCAGGAGTGATCTCAGAGCACGGAGCCAGGAGTAAGTTCTGAGTACCATCAGGTGTCCCCAGAGGTGAGGATACTAGCCTTTGGCCCAGAAACTCATGGGAAGAGCTGGGAGACCCCAGGAAAGGAGGAAGAGGTTATGGTGCCACCAAAGCTAGGAACCGACTAGGCGCACATAAGCCATCTCCGGCGCTGACAGGAGAGCAGGCGTCCACGGGGACAGATGTATTTGCTCATCCCAGGCTTCATCTACTCCCTCACTGATGAAGTCAGGTGCCAGGGAGGGTCTAGATTCAGTGCTGCTTTGAACCGATATTCTTTACATTTCAGTTCGACATCTGTTTGGAGAAGCTAAGCTGAGCTGTTTCCTGGGGGAGAGCGAGAGGAGGCAGCCGGTGGCCCGGACCTGTCTCCTCTCCACCTCCTTTCACTCAGCCCATCTCCAAGACCTGCTCATCCAGGAATCCCTGGCGGGGCGGGGGGGGGGGGGGGGGGGGGGGGCAGTGACCACCTCTGGATTCCCTAGCCTACTCCTTGGGGGTTGGGCGGGGGGGTGGCTTTACCCACCTGTACATGCTCATCTATGGGACTTGTCAAACCAACAGTGTGTTCCTATTTTTACATGTCCAGCAATGATGCAGGCCTCACAGTCACCAGCCAGGTGACATCTGACAGGCCCTAAACTCACCACCCCCCCCCCCCGCCATACACACACACGCACCCCATCATGCATCCCCTCTGCCTCCAGAATAAGAACACAGGCCACAGAGACAGCATAGGGCCTGAAACTCCTACCTTGCATGAGAGCAATTCAAATTCAACCCCCGGCACACATATGCTTTTTTTTGCTACACACAGTGGTAATCATGCACTACCCCTATAGTAGTCTTTGAGTGGCTGCTCCTAGCTTGGTGCTCAGGGAAATGAAGTACCAGGGATCGGACCCAGGGCTCCTGCATACAGAAACTATGATCGAGCCCTTTAAGTCATCTTGCCGGCCTTGTCCATGATATCTTGCTGTAATGGCCAGAATAGACTAAGAGAAATAAATACCCTGAGTCTCCAGGGCCCTTGATCCACCTACCCGCCACCAACCTCCTGCCCAATTGAGCTCACCACCGCCCCTCCCTTCTAGACCTTAGTCCTTCCCTCCTCCAGCCCTCCTCTGGCCTTGGGTGCCACCCCCAACAATCCCTAGACGTCGTGATAATCCCACAGAGATCCCTCCTTCTTCCTCCCCTCCTTACTGCACATCTGGTACGTCAGATTGCCTCCAGCCAGGTCAATCTTAACAAGAGTGCATCTCATATCAACTGCCCGGCAAGACCATGAACTTCCTAGTGTACCCCCAATGGACGGGTCACTCCTGTCTACTGTACCCAACTCACTGTCTACTGCAGAGCCTGGGACCCCCAATTCAGTGGTGAGAAATACTTCAAACGTCACAACTCAGTACGCACATGGGCCCTTGAAGTGGAAATGAAAATTCCACTAAGAAACACTGAGCCTGACCTCTGTAAGTTTGAAGATTGCTTTGCTTGTTGATTGGTTTTGTGGGTCTATTTGGTGAGGGGATGGGGGTTGATGGTGTTTGCTTTGGGGCCTCACCTGGCGATTCCTACTCCCAGCTCTGAGCTTATGGATCGTTCCTGGCGGGGCTCAGGGAATCAGATGAGACACCAGGGGAAGGGAGCTGGGTTGGCAGCATGCAAGGTAAGGGCCCTACCTGTTGTCCTATCCCACCTGATTTTTTTTGTTCTCTTAATGCAGTTCTGTTGTTTTAAAAAAAAGATTTATGGCCCAAAATCAGATTCTGCGCCAGGAGACTGAAAATACCCCTGCCTTAGAGCAAGTTTGACGCACGAGGCTGGATTCTGACTGGCTGCCGAGGCATTTGCCCAACTCTGGTAGGGGTTCAATGTAACTTGAAAAACTCAGCATGCCTGGAAGTTACATCTATTCTCAACCATCCCCTTCCTCTATCCCCTCCCCGCCCCCTCCCTCACCCTTCCCAGCCACCCCTTGCCCGCCCCCAGGACCTGTTCTCAACCATCACTAACATTTCAGAGAGCACTCAACTGAATCTCAGGGAGAATTTTCTTGGGCTGCCTCTCAGATGTGGCTTTCACCATGGCTCATGGCACTGGGTATGGTGACTCACAGGTCCTCTGCCGCCCTTAAACGACACCGTCTGCAGCACCGAGCCTGGAGCCTCGGCTCAGGCCTTTGTGTCAAGCCACCCAGACTGTTTCCCACCTCATTGGCAGTGACAGGCCCCAGCCAGTGACACCCCCCTCCCCCACCACCTGTCCTCCCGCCGAGAGGTGGCTGGCAGGGCAAGGCTGTTTTTCTTACTCTGGATTAAACCAGTCCCAGAGCTCCAACTCATCATCTTCTTTCCTGTGTTCCTTTTCTTTGTCTGCGTTCTCTTCCTGGTTGGTCCTGTGTACCAAGGGAAAGCAGAGATAGTAAGACAGCTGGAAACCAGCCCTGGCCACACCGAGAAGGGGCTCAGAGTGACACACGGTGCTCATCAGAACTATTTTTCCATGGTTTGCTTTCCCACCATCTCCCCTTCAGCCCTGGCCTCCCTCAGCCCCAAGATCAATGGAACCGAAGCAAACCAGATCAAACCAACAGAGCTCAAGGTCGTAGCCCCCACCAGGCACACAGATTCTTCGTCTGAGACCAAGAAGTCAGAGGCGGGGGCTGGAGCAATAGCACAGTGGGTAGGGTGTTTGCCTTGCACATGGCCAACCCAAGTTCGATCCCAGGCATCCCCTATTGTCCCCTGAGCACCACCAGGAGTAATTCCTGGGCGCATGAGCCAGGAATAACCCCTGTGTATCGTTGGTGTGACCCAAAAAGCAGGAAACAAAAAAACGTCAGAGGTGTGTGTGTGGGGGGGGGGGGGGGGCGGGAAGAGAAGATGGACAGACAGACATGCTCTTACCCATTGCCAAACCAGCTTGGAAACCACCAGTTCTTCTGGGAGATACTGTCCTCAACTTCTAGATTTCTGAGAAATCAAAGAGAGTGCAAATACATTCAGAACTGAAGGTGTACCCAAGTGGGAGCTTTCCAGACTCTTCACAGCAAAGGAGGAGATGGAAACTTTGTACTCCTAAATTTGTGAAAAAAGGGACAGAAGTAGAGATCCTCCAGCTGCCTGAGGGCAGGGCTGACCTTGGGTGCTCCCAGCTCCCAGCGTATCATCAAGGGAGCAGAGTAGACTGAGAGGAGGGAAAAAATGACAAAAAGTGCGGTAATGCATGCACCTCGACCCCCAGGGGCGAGACTGCAATTGGACCTTCTCCATCACTACTTTTTGATGATCCCCTTTGAAAAGTCAGTTGAGGGGAATAACAGGAATGACAGATCTACCCTGAGGTTAACTTTAAAAAATGAAGTGAAATCAACTCCCTAGAAGGGCATTACTATCAGAAAGGTCTGTTGACAAGTGGCAGGTGGACATTTTTGTTGGTTGTTTTGGATTTTTTTTTTTTTTTGCCCACTCCTGGCAGGATTTGGGAATTACTCCTAGTTCTGTGCCTGGACTATATATTCCCTGATGGTGCTCAGGGAACTATATTCAGTGCCAAAGATCAAATCAAGGTCAGCCACATGGAAGGCAAGAACCTCAGCCCTGGACTATCTCTTTGGCCCCACAAATTGCTTGGGAACATAAAAACGGGCGTGGTCAAGGTTCAATGGGTCAGAGGATCCTTTGCAAGTGGGGTCCCTGGGCTCTGGCTGTGATAACCCTGGGACCTCTGAGCACCAGCGCATGTGACTAAAGCATAATAAGAATAAAAAGTAAAATAGGGGCCAGAGAGACAGAGAGTTCAGAAGGATGAACTTGCACATGGCTGACCTGGGCCAGATCCTGAGCACCAGAGAGGGTCACCAAGCACTGGCTGGAGTATCCCTGAGCTAGGAGTAAGCCCTAAGCACCACCAGGTAGGGCCCCCAAACCAAAACAAAACTAAAAACAGCATCCAAGGGGCTGGAGCAATAGCACAGCAGGTAGGGCATTTGCCTTGCACGCGGCCGACCCAGGTTCGATTCCCAGCATCCCATATGGTCCCCTGAGCACCGTCATAGGTAATTCCTGAGTGCAGAGCCAGGAGTAAACCCTGTGCATTGCCGGGTGTGACCCAACAAACAAACAAACAAACAAAAAACAGCATCCAAGAATAACCTCTTCCTAACGGAACTCAGGCACTAGTCAGGTTGACGTCAGCACACCAGTCTGAGGGTCTCGGACCCAGAGGCCAGTTCCCACACACTCTCAAGGGCCCTTCACGAGGAGAGGGATTGGGGGTGCCAGGAGGGGGTGGTATAGTGTGTGCAAAACCCTTCAGTTGCACAAATAAGGTGGGTATTGGGGGCTAAACAAGCATCAGGTTCTCAGGTAGCAGCATCTGTTTCCCAAGTGTTCAAGATGGCTTATGACCTAAGGTGTGGCTCAATAAACTAGAAAATACAAGATTTTTTTTTTTTTCCGAAAGGGAACAGCGGGAGGCCAGGGATTGGGCTTGGTGACACAGTCTATGCTTTGCTTGGGTGAAACCCAACGCTCACCTGGCAGTGCAACAACAAAACAAAACAAAACAAGAATCAGTGAGGGCAGGGACAAGGGGGGAAAAAACAACTGCCAGTCAGGTAGCTATTCATCTGAGAGGAGCCGCGTGCCCCTTACTTTTATTTTCTAGCAGAGCTGGAGGCCCAGCAGATCCCTTGACCTTTGTGAGGCTGAGAGCCAGGATCCTACAAGAGGGTGGTTGGGACAACAGGGCAGCTGCAAAGGTCAAGCATGGGCGTTCCCGTGGCTCTCGGCCCCAGCCACCGCGCCAAGGAAGGAGGCAAGTTGCCCGTGGCCTCAGAGCCAGCAGGAAGTGTCTGTCTGACCCCAAATCTGTCCTAGATCAGTGCGTCGGGTCCCACTTTCAGGCCCACAGGCTGCAGTTGTCACCCAGGCACAGACCAGTGGTGTCCATCTCTCTACATCTGTGGACCAGTGGTTCTAGAAGCATCATAACCTACTTAAGTCCCCTACTATATATACTGTCCTCCCGTTGTTCATCGATTTGCTCGAGCGGGCCCAGTAACACTGTGAGACTTGTTACTGTGTTTGGCACATCGAATACGTCATGGAGAGCTTGCCAGGCTTTGCCAGGCGGGCAAGATACTCTCGGTAGCTTGCCGGGCTCTCCGAGAGGGGCGGAGGAATCGAACTCGGGTCGGCCATGTTGGCTGAGTGCAGGGCAAACGCCCTACCCCCTGTGCTATCGTTCCAGCCCACTATATATACACATATATAAAAATTAGTCTATCCTTTACAATGAACATCCCATAGTATAATACATGTATCTACGGTCCATATGCTTACATATATGTAAATAGATCTATTATGTATAACTAAACTCAGAGATCTACTATATAAAACTATAGTCTATGCAATGTGTTATAGAATTATACTACTCTATTATTACATACATACAGGAGACCCAAAGGTTTTTCCTGATCCTTTGTCCCCAATGTATATTTTTCTTTCTCTCTTTTTTTTTTAAATTGACTTACAGTGAGATACATACACAATTACAAAGTTATTCACGATTGGGTTTCAGTCATACAATGTTCCAACACCCGTCCTTCCACCAGTGTCCATTCCCACCACCAATGCCCCCCGTTTCCCAACTGCCCCCACCCCCCATCCTGCCTCTATTCCTATGTGCTCTCTCTTTCCCTCTCACTCTCCTTCTCTCTCTCTTTCTCTCTCTCTCTCTCACTCTTTCTCTCTTTCCTTTTCTCCACATTTGAGGAGAAGCAGGACGAACATGAACTGTCTCCCTCACTGACTCTGCCAGGAGGTGAGAACCTTAAGCTCACTCAAGGCTCTTGAGGAGATGCAGGGGCAAACCCCAAGAGATGATTCGACAAGGCCAGTCTGGGGAGGGGGGGGGTCCCAGAGAAACCCCTCGGGGCCAGAGGGGAGCACACGCAGACACGAGGGCCACAAACCTTGGAAGCACTTACTTTGAGTGATAGATCCACAACAAGGAACCTTCTGGGCTGAAAAGCAAAGGAGAAATAAAAATAGTTCAGGTTACTTTGGGTTCAATTTAAAAAAAAAAAAAGCAAAAGCTCTTTTGCAACCGTTCCCACTAAAGCCCAGAATTGAACTTCTCCTAAATTCACACCTTCCTCTAAGAAGCGGCCAGAGAAACAAACCAGTCCTGGGAATTTCCACTCGCAGGCACTGCATAGCTGGCTGTCCAGAACAAGGGGTGGGGAGGAAGTTTCTGGAGAATCTCAAACCACAGAAAAGCAAAAAGGAAAACAAAGACCTTGGACCAAAGGAAAACAGGAGCCTGCAGGGTGGCCACCCCGCCCCCAGCCAGGACTGGACTGGCCAGGACTCTGGAGTCTGAGCTCACTGGGGACAACAGCCCCCGTTCCGGTCCCCCACCCACACAGCTCCCCATAGGAAGAAAACGGGCCCCTCACCTGCCGCACTTTCCCTTCTGAGCCCAGTTCACAAGAACCAGGTTCAACACTAAGTTCTTGCTGTTCGGATTTGGACAATATTAACAAGGACACATGGTCCAGACCTGGGGGGAAAGTTGACCTTCACGGAGCCACTTTCACTTTTCTCTATAATGACAATTATTTTTCTATTGTTGTGCTGGCACAAAGGAGAAGATCAACAAAAGTTTGTTCAATTACTGGGAGGACTGGGCTGGAGCGATAGCACAGCAGGTAGGGCGTTTGCCTTGCACGTGGCCGACCTGGATTCAATTCCTCCACCCCTCTAGGAGAGACCAGCAAGCTACCAAGAGTATCCTGCCTGCGCGGCAGCACCTGGCAAGCTCCCCATGACGTATTCAATATGCCAAAAACGGTAACAAGTCTCACAATGGAGACATTACTGGTGCCCACTCGAGCAAACGGGAGGACAATGCTGCAGTGCTATTGTTATAGGGGCCACAGCTGGCTGTGCTGGGGCCCCTCATGGGGCCATGCAGTGCCAGGAGCAAACCCAAGACCTTGCCCATGTGACGCATGTCCTTTGCCACTTGGGTTCCTATGAAGCCCTGTGTGTTTGCAGGTTTTGTTTGGGGGCCACACCCAGCAGGGTTTGGGGGCGCTCATTCTGGCTCAGTGTTTGGGGCTCACTCATGGTGGTGCCTGGGGGGGCCAGGAAGTGCTGAGGGTCCAAACCAGAGCCTCACACAGGCAAGGAGAGGTTCTACTGCTGAGTCACCTCATGGTCCCCTGGAGTCGGAGTGGAATGGATGGAGCATGAGTCCTGGAGAAACCGCATTACCAGTCTCCCAGGAGCTACGTCAGGGACCTCTGAACGGGCCAACAAAAGCAATTGATTCAAGGAAACATCAATCAAAACACAGTTTGAGAGAGCACCTGGGTCATCAGAGCTGATGGTCATAGCCTTTATGCCACAGAACAGAATCAGTAACCCATTACTGAGAGCCACAAATCCTTTGTTTATTCTTTGTTCATTCTTTAATCTTTTGTGTCATCTTGCCTTCAATAAGTCGGTTTTTCCTGGGGCATGCACCTTAGGTTTCCACCTGAGTCTCTGTACCCCCAAATTGCAATCCTTTGACCCCCATTAAATGTGCTCTCAGCATGGTGGTGGCTGGTCCTGTGCTCTGCCTTTTAGGCCTCCTGAAATTTCTGCTTCAAGTAAGTCACTGGCATTTATTTGTTCATTAAATCCTTGCAACACGGGGCTGGAGAGATAGCACAGTGGGCAGGGCACTTGCCTTGCACACGACCAACCTGGGTTTTTATCTCCAGCATCCAAAATGGTCACCCAAACACAGTCAGGAGTAATTCCTGAGTGCGTAGGCAGAAGGAATCCCTGAGCACTGTTGTTCAGATCCGCCCTCCGAATCAAAATAATAAATGAATAATAAATCCTCGCAACGACCAATGAAGGTTCTATTCTTTCTCATTCTGCAGATCAGAAACTGAGGCAAAGAGGCCAGAAATGAGGTGCCCAAGGCCAGACTACTAAGGAGAAGTAGAACCAGTATCTGAACCGAGAATCAGATCATCTGGCTCTGGTGTCTTCAAGGTGAGGGCGGGGCAGTGGGGGGGGACAGGGAGGGAGCAAGAAAGGATCCATTGGATCTACCCAGTGCAACACAGCACTCAGACCCAACCACTGGCCCTCGGGCACCAACTGGTAGATTCGGATTCACCACAGTTGCCAGGTCTCTCAGATCCATCTCCTCCATCCCCTCGCAGACAGATTCCTTCAACACTCTAATGGTCCCAATAGCAGATACCCTCCAGTCTATGGCTTTTATGACATATTCATCCTTAAGGCACTGCTCGGCTATCAACTTTCTCTCCAAGTCATATGTTAAAGGAATATAACTTTATATATAATATATAGTTAAAACTCCATATTAAAGTTTATATATAGTTGAAGGTGATAGGATCACCTTTATGTGATCCTACTACAGTGCCTGGCACATAGTATGTGCTCAATTAATATTTGCAAGTGAATGTAAAAAAAAAAAACAGATAGCCTCTAAGCCAAATGAAATTTTAGTCTTCTTAAACTTTTGATGGTCCCTTTCTCTACATGATATCCTTCTACTTTGTATCCTTGGCTATCTATGTAAAAATATATATATATTTTTAGGGTAAAAATAGTATTTTAGTTTGTTTTGTTTGCCTGGGGCCACACCTTCAATGCTCTGCGCTCAGAAATCAGTCCTGGCAGAGCTCAGAGAATGATATGGCATGCTGGGGATTGAACCCGGGTCTGCCACATGCAAAAGAGGCACCTTATAGGATTAAAAGTTTCTAATTGATTCACAGCACTAGGGACAAAGAAGAAGCTCAAGAAAGAGTCTTAGATGGTCCAGCAGGTAAGAATTCTAGTTCCAACTTGAACATTAAAACTCACCACTAATCTGTAGGATAACAGTGGTTTGTCGTTTCTCCCTGACTGCAGGGAGTTTGGGCTTTTATTGGGTTATATCCATCACAGTGGTCCCGGGGCACTCCCATTCCTGTGTTTACCTTTAGCCTCTTCTCTGTGCTCTGCTTCCTCAACCAGTTATTCATCTTTATCCCCAAAGCAGTACCTGTGACTTGTAAAGACAAACTCCTCATAAATCTCTGATTTAGTGTTTGTAAGTATAATATTGCTTTTCTCCTTCCCCTATGTCCTTTTGCGTAGTTTACTCTAGAACAATGTCCTTTTTGTATAGATACAGGAAGACAGCTAATGCTATAATATTCACTCATGGCCATTTGTTTTCTAAACATAAACCTCAGTTTCCCTTAGTTCCTAGCACCCCAAAAGCAAAGTCCCAGCGAGGGACTGGATGGACCCAGGGCAAGCTGTGAGCTACCCTAGCACTGAAACAGGCCAGGAGAAGCATCATAATAATTAACTCGAAGTTAAGACCATGCTCATGGACAAATGCTGTCATGATCCAAAGAGTAACGGCAGGATTCGGACCCTGTTAGGGTTAGGAAAGATTAATCTGGCCTGAGCATTGTAGTCCGGGATCTATAGCAAGATGTCCTCAGGAGACTCAGCCTACAAACTTAATATATCTCTTACTGTGTCCATACAAAATGGCTATAAAGACTAAAAGGTAAAAGGTTAAGGCCCTCCCGTTGATCATCGATTTGCTCGAGCGGGCCCAGTAACGTCTCCATTGGAGATTTTGTTGTTACTGTGTCTGGCATATCGAATACTCTCGGTAGCTTGCCGGGCTCTCCGAGAGGGGCGGAGGAATCGAACTCGGGTCGGCCATGTTGGCCGCTTGTAAGGCGAACGCCCTACCCGCTGTGCTATCGCTCCAGCCCTATAAAGACTATTTAGAAGTAAATCTAAGATGGTTGTTGGACTAATGAAAGGAGAAACACACCCCTAGGTGGTATTTCGCCCTTGAGTGGATATCCTGGCTGCAGGACATCTTTGTCTTATCTTAGAAGAGTTTTGGAGGAGCGATAACACAGCAGGTAGGGCGTCTACCTTGCACACGGCCTACCTGGGTTGAATTCCCAGCATCCCATATGGTCCCCTGAGAACCAGGAGTAAACCCTGAGCATCGCCAGGTGTGACCTTCCGGGACGAAGGGCTTTCATATATTGATTTTTAGGGTAAAAATAGTATTTTAGTTTGTGTTTTTTTTGCTGAGACGTTGGACCCTAGACCAAGGGCGAGAAGGAGAGACTAGCGTGGGGGACAGGAGGAAACGGGAATGAGGGACATGATCCTTTGGTACCCTAAGCACCTGAGGAGTAAGAAGAATTAGGAGTAGCCCCAGAGTACCACTCTCTATGCCCCAACCTCCCCCCCCCCCAAAAAAAAGCCTAAAATATTGTTGAAAATGTAATCCTGAGGAGCCAGACCACTAGTACAGTGTAGGGTAGGGTGCTTGCCTTGCACATGGTCAACCCTGGTTTGACCCTTGGCATTCCAGATGGCCTCCAGAGCACCCCCAGGAGTAATTTCTGAGCATAGAGCCAGGGGTACCCTGAGCATCACTGAGTGTAGTGCAATAACAAACAGGAAAAAAAAAAAGCGTAACCTTGAACATAAGGACACAAACCTCCTCATGGCTCAGAGATAAAGTGGTGACACAGAACCAGCCCTCAGCAACCTTTGCCCCACTGCATAAGGGTATTTCCTCACCCTCAAGTACCTAAGGGAGCCCCCAGGACCCCTGAATCTAACTAGAAGTCATCACGCCTTTGGACTAAGTGTCCCCAGTTCCCTCTATGTGCAAGATCTGGTTTTCAGACCCTTTTAACTTGGTCACATTCCAGCTTCTATGTTTTTCTTAAAGCAGTGCTTCAAACTGTTCCCTTAAGGTGCAGTTCCTTTGTTGGCACAAAGGTTCTCCTGGCTCTTCACAGCTCAGAACTTGAGAATTAAAAAAGTCAAATGCTAATCCAGGTTGTCACCTTGAACTTGGAGACTACTGAAAAAAAAAAAAAAACACTGAGAAAACGTTGATGTTCCTTACGTAGGGGACATTAAAGGCAAGGGTAAGTTGTCCCAGCAACTCTGAAGTCGAAGGTACCATACATTGGGGGAGCAACTTGCAAACTCTTCTCTGCAAAAATCTCTCCAGCTGGAACCTCGGATCCAGCATCGGTTCCAAAAGCCCAGAAGCCGCACATTTGGGGTGAATCCATGGATGCAAATAAACACTCAAAAATGTTCCGTTCAGCTTGCTTTTCTGAATTTCAAAAACCAAAACCAAGCAACACCCAAACATTTCAGCTAGGCATAAATGAATCACCAGGGATGAAGTCTCTTTTATAGGGAAAGTCAACAACTGGAAGGTGCAACTTTGGAGTCCAAAGATATTTCAGGATTGCAAAGATCAAGGTGTGTTTCACATGGAATTTCGATTTCTTAAGGGAATTTCCCTCTCTCATCACACATCATGTAAAGTGAGATTCGGGATTTGAATTGGACTGTGCCATTTCTAGAGCCAGCCAACCCTTAACTACTCAGGATCATGGAGGGAAGGAAGACAATCTGTTAGCCAGAAGGTCGTGGGAGAGAGAACTATTTCATTCTATTCTATTTGGTTCGGAGATGCTCTGGGATTATTCCTGGCTCTGCACTCAGGAATTACTCCTGGTGGTGTTAAAGGGACCAGATGGGATGCCAAAGATAGAACCCAGGTCAGCCACATTCAAGGCAAGCATCCTCCTGCTGTATTAATTGCCCTAGCCCCAGAATGATTTTAAAGATAGCTCTAGACTTGGTACCAGAGGAAGAGTGGAATCCCTTCTTGATGGTTTGACTTCATCCTAATTTAATTTCACCTGGTGGCTTGGCTGACGTGCGCCATTGGTTAGAATCCCTGAGGCTTGCCCGCATAATTTCTTCCCATAATTACCTGTTGATATATTCCCAAAATACAACCACCACAGTGGAGGCCACCAGCGTAGACAGAATCACTTTTCCTTTGACATTCATTATTTTTTCCTGCGGGAGAAAGGGGAAAGAAAGAAAAAAAAAAGGAAAAAAATAGATTAAATAAGGCCAGAACAGGCCATAGTTTTGAAGTACTGCTTCTCTCCCATTCTGTCTAAAAGGATATGTTTAGGAATATTTAGCCAGTGCTAAGGAAAGCATTCTACCTTTCATTGCGCTGTTGATAAAGGCCAGGGAGTCCAGCACGAGGAACGGACAGGGTGGCCATGTTGGGAAGGACACTAGGCCACTCTGGGACCTAGGGAAATGTTTCTGACCCATCAGGAGGTCCATGGCAGATGAGGGAGGGCACGGGAGGGTCCCAAGGACTTGATCCCTCTGCATATGATGGTAATCACCCAGCCCATCCTTTGCTAATCTCCTTGATAATAAAGACCCTTCCACCCCATTCCAAGGTCCTTTTAATCTAGGTTTACCCACTTCCTAGCCCACTCCTACAAACAGCTGTCTCCAACTATGCCCACAAACAAATCAGTCATTGGCACACAGTAGGTGCACATAATGGGGCAGCACTAAGCAGAGTTTGGGGGAACCAGAGGCTACTCCAGGATATTCAACCAAGCTGGACGGTTCAAAGTTTGTGACCACAATGCAGTGCTGCTCAGGGCTCATGGGGTCAGGGACCCTCTCCCCAAGGTTACACCCAATAGGTTTGGGAACCTTTAAGGCTACACCCAAGGGCGCTTGGGGAGAGGGTGTTTGTGCGATACACAAACCAAACTCAGGTCCTTGGACATGTATCCCTGAGCTAGTTCCCCGACCCACACACAGGTAGTGGGGGAAGAGGGTCAGGCCACACCCAGCAGCGCTCAGGAGCGATTCCTGGGTCAGTGCTCAGAGGTAACACCTGGCAGGGCCCAGGGACCATGTGAGGTACTGGAAATTCAAACCAGGGTCAGCGGCATGAAAGGCAAGTGCTCCAGCCCTGTACCTTCCCTCTGCTTCCACACTTTTTTTTTTTAATTGAAGTGGAAGGGAGAAGGCATGCTGTGTGGGAAACAGCAAGTCAGGAAACACTCAGATTCAAGCATGGAAGGAGACCTCAAAAGGAAGTGACTTTAAAGTTTTCAGGGGGGATGAGGACAGGATGGGTGAGGAGGGGACCACTGCAAGAACAGTCTCTACCAACCATGACAGGCAGAAAAGCTGCTTGAGTTTGAAAAAAATAAATTAATAATGGAACAAGAGGCTAGAGAGCTAGACTGGTGGTTAGGGTACTAGGATCACACATGGCCAACCGTGGCACCACATATAACCCCTCAAGCACTGCCAGGAGTGATCCCTGAGCACAGAGCCAGGAGTAAGCCCTGAGCACCGCCGGGTGTGGCCCAAATTCCCTCCCCACTCCCCAAAATAAAAACCAGGGTAAGTCTTTCTTCCCTCAAAGTGACTGACAAGGAGGGGAGGGAGGGAGTGGAGCAGAAGAACTCTGAGGGAAGGCCTGGAGCAATAGCACACGGGTAGTGTGTTTGCCTTGCACGTGGTCAACCCGGGTTCGATTCCCAGCATCCCATATGGTCCCCTGAGCATTGCCAGGAGTAATTCCTGAATGAAGAGCCAGGAGTAACCCCTGTACCTCACCGGGTGTGACCCAAAAAGAAAAAAAAAACTCTGAGGGGTGTGGAAGGAGGGCTGGAGGTAACCCAGGTACACAGTCCTCAGCAGAGAAAAGACCCTCCTGGTGTGGGGTGTGGAGCACGGATAGGGGACAAGAGCCCAGGGTCCGGGGAGGACTCAGCAGGACAGGCCAGTGACCCAAACACAGGCCAGCCTGTGTTGGAAGGTGGCAGAGGAGAAGGAGGAAATATTCATTCAAAACACCCTGCAGAGGGGCTGGAGCGAGCGGGGAGGGTGTTTGCCTTGCACGCGGCCGACTCGGGTTCGATTCCCAGCATCCCATATGGTCCCATAATGTGCCACCAGGAGTAATTCCTGAGTGCAGAGCCAGGAGTAACCCAAAAAGCAAAACAAAAAACAAACAAACAAAAAACCACCCTGCAGAGCCATAAGCAGGAGGAGTCAGCTGGGAACTGCAGGTAGGAGCTGAGAGATGGAAGAAGGCAAAAAGGCTGGTCGCGGGCAGCTGGCGGGGGTGAGTGAGGGGGCGCCAGCTGAGGGGCAGGAAGAGTCGGGGAGGCCCAGGTTTGGGGGGATTAAGAACCCTGAACTTCCCTCTGGATGTGCCGACACCAGTGAGAACCCCTTGGGGTACGTGACCAGCAGGCAGGTGGCCATCAGGGAGTGAGGCTGGGAGAGGTGGGTGGGGATGGCTGACCCAGGACGTGGGCTGGACGGCCAGAAAGGAAGCGAGGAGCGGACCACCCAGCGAAGGATGTGGACAGGGAGAGAGAAAGGCAAGAGCACCTGGGCCAAGCCTGAGGGCACCGGCAGCTGTGAGGAAGAGCAAGGAGCAGAATGGAAGCAGACCCTGCACACGAGGGCCTGGCTCAAGCCCCGGCACCACTGGCCCCTGGGAACTGTGCTGGGAACAGCCCAAGAAGTTGGAGAAGGAAAACGCAGATCATAGACACCCAGAAGCCGAAAGGAGAGAGTGGCCAGCCACGCTGCTCCCCGACTGTCACCTCTGAAGTCCCATCTGGCCAGGACCACGTAGGTAGGGAGGTGCTGTCTACAGGTACCCCAGCCCTCTGCAGACCACACCTGTCATTCAGGGAGGCAGCGCCCCGGGACTCTCTACTCGATGCTCTGTCTCCTCTTCCACCCTGGTCGGGCCATTCCAAGGGGCAGGAGGGTTCGCTCCGCCCCAAATCCCCAGGACCCGGTTCCGAGCCCACCAGGAGGCCCGGCCGAGCCGTCGGAGAATGAAGGATCACAGCCCTGGGTGTGGAACAGGCTCCGCATTCAGTGAACAGTTTACGACAACAGGCGGATGGCTGAGTCCTGCCTTGGAGGTGGGCGCCACACCCGCACTGCTCCTGACTGAGTCCAGCTAAGGGCGAGACAGGCAGACTCTCAGTAAGGACACTCGTCATCGCTCTGGCTCAGAGAGAGAACTGTGTTTGGAAGGAGAGAGCCCGGGGCAATACGGGGCCACAGGACACGCTCTCCAGTTCTCCACGATTTCACCAAGCGTGGTTTTCCGTGGTCTTGCAGGTGAAGGTCAGTCCTGAGTGTCTGTCCTGGAAGGAAGCATCCCGGGGGTGCCCAGGGTCCTGGAGGCTGTGTGCCGCTCAGCCACCAAGCTGGGAGAACCATGGGGCTCTGAGCAAGATCCTAAGAGCACGGAGCGCTGGGCAAGGTCTGAGTGTGGCAGCGAACAGCTCAGGGAGGCATCTGTGGCTGCTTCTGGGGTGAGTCCCTCCCCCTCCCCCACCCCGCCCAAGAAGGGCTGCAGGCTGCTGGACCACGTGGGCTTTGGAATGAGGCAGGGATTCGGGGTCTCCCATGGGTAATGCACAGGATGCTGGGCAACCCCCAAACCAGGATAACTCCTGCAACCCCCAACTGTGCTCACAGTCCCCCACTGAAGAAGGCTCGGGAGCACAGGGGCCCTTTCTGCTCTGCAGTTGGCATGAAGGCCCCCAAGGGGCCAGGAGGCTGTTTCTGACCTGAGCCCAACCCCTCTCGAGCGAGCCTGTTTAAACTCTGCATAAATATTGATGTATTATTCATGGGGTGTTGCCACGCTGTGGATGTTACATAATATATGACTCAGAATTCACACTCTCCCTCTTTAGTTCTGAGTTCCAACCTCACCGGCCCTTGGGGTTCAAAAAACCAGAGACTGGGGACCTAGAATGAATGAATCCCACGAAATAAGGTTGCTCGTCTTTAAAATGAGGGGGCAGGAGTGCTAGGAGAGGGGTTAAGGCATGTGCTTTGCATGCCATGGACCCCAGCTGGGTCCCCGGTACATGGCCAGGGACAGTCTTGGAGGACCCGAGCAACACGGGGGTGGCCCGGGTGACCCCCAGCACTGCAGGACTGAAATAGCACCTCCTGCTCAGGCTCCCCCACTGAAATGCCATCCCAGCTGGCAACACCTGCGGGGTGCGGGGGAAGACTGGGCAGGGGAACCCATGGTGCCTCCAGAGCACCACTTGATGCTCCAAGTAAATGGATAAAAGAAAATGGGGCCAAGAATGGTGGTGATAGTACAGCGGGTAGGGCATTTGCCTTGCATGTGGAAGACCCTAGTTCAATCCGTGGCATCCCATATGGTCCTCTGAGCACTGCCAGGAGTGATTCCTGAGTGAAGAGCCAGGAGTAACCCCTGAGCATCACCGGGTGTTAAAAAAAATGGTGGTGATGAGGGGAGATGATGTCCCCCTAACCCTCAGCAGGGTGCCTACCACGGGACAAACCAAAAGCTGCATTTTCTCATGAGAAAGACAGTCAGGGGAGGAGCCGGGAGCCAGCTCCACGCCCGGGACCGAGCAAGGCCACACCACATATTTGCAGGAAAGGAAGGAGGGTTTTAGAATAAGAACATGTTATAAAATACAGTAGGAATAGACATAAATGAGAGACTCGGCATCTGTGCTGTGCCTCTGTCTGATTAAGAGGGAGGTGGAAGAGGAGGAAGAGGAGGAGGAGGAGGAAGAGGAGGAGGAGAAGGAAGAAGAAGAGGAAGAGAAAGGAAGGAGAAGAGGAGGAAGAGGAGGAGGAGAAGGAAGAAGAAGAGGAGGAGGAGGAGAAGGAAGGAGAGAGGAGGAGAAGGAGGAGGAGGAGAAGAAGGAAGAGGAGGAGAAGGAAGAAGAGAGGATGAAGAGGAGGAAGAGAAGGAGGAGGAAAAGGAAGGGGAGGAGGAGAAGGAGGAAGAGGAAGAGAAGAAGAAGGAAGAGGAGGAGGATAAAGGAGAAGAGAAGGAGGAGAAGGAAGAGGAGAAAGAGGAGGAGGAGGAGGAGGAGGAGGAGGAGGAGGAGGAGGAGGGTGGGAAGGATCTTCCCTTCTCTTTGCTACAGCCCTAACTCTCCAACAACTCCCCATAAGTGAGGGTGAAAGTGACACGGCCACACAGGCAGGCAGAGTGGGTGGTCCCAGGTCCAAGGCTTCTCCAGCCCCATCTGTGGGGAGCAAATGCAACCCGCCTCCCCATGTGAGGAGCGGCACCCAGGGGGACCCAGACTGTCCCTGTAGGGCCTAGGGATGCTCAGGCAGGGCGAGCCCAGGCCCTCGAAGCCACGGGCTCAGCCCCTCTCCGAGCAAGTGGGCATGTGCCAGGTCGCTGCCCCCGAGAGTGAGCGGCACATCCAGACTGGCTCACGGCAGCCGCTCCTGCTTCCCGCTACTGTCCTCGCTCCTGTGTGAAACTGAGACTTGGCAGTGAACAGGTCCCTGCGCTAACCTCTAGAAATGCTTGTAGACAGCTTCCTGGAAGCCGCGACCCAGGGCTCCAGGGGAGGCTGTCTCTGCGAGCTTAGAAAACGTTTATTATTTTTTTTTCCTCCCTCTGGACAAAAGGAGGCATGGGGCCGCCAGTGTGGTCTAAAGGTCTTTCTCTGATCTCGTTGGCGCCCTCGAAATGTTTCAACACGCTGTGCCCTTCAGAAGACCTGAGTCCTACCCACCAGCTCAGAGATGGGGGTTTGCTTCCGGGTCCCCCCACCGCAGGGGGAAAGCACGCACGGGGGGGGGTGTAGGGGTCTGTGGGTGGGCCAGCGCGTCTCCCCACGGCCTGGAGCTCTACCCCTTCTCTCTGATTTTCTGTTGTTTGTTCTGGCTATATTCCTGACTCTGCACTCAGGGATCACTCCTGGCGGTGCTCAGGGGGACCATATGGGATGCCGGGGATCGAACCCGGGCCGGCTGTGTGCAGGGCAAGCACCCTCCCCGCTGTACTCAATCTCCAGTGCCCTGCCCAGTTCTCCCTCAGCCCCTGTCACACCCGGCTCACGGTTTCTCTCAGAATCCCTCCTCCCAGAACCATCCCCTGCCCGGCTGATCCCACAAAGCCACTGGGGGTTCCTGGAACTCACGCATGGAGCAGCCAGGGCAGTGTCCGTCCCTGCCCCCACTCCCGTCTGCCTCCTTCCCTGAGTGTCAGGCTGACCTGTCCATGCGGCCTGGGGACACCCGAAACATGCTTGTGCGTCTCCACACGAGCACACACTGTGGGTGCGTCCCCCTGTCTTGGACACACACACACACCCCGCCCCACCAGAATTGCTCCTGCTTTCAGGGGAGAGGTGACGGGGCTGTGGAACAGCCCCCGGCAGCTCTGGAAAAGCCATTATGTGGGGGAGCTGGGGTCCGACGGGGGAAAACAAGGGGTGCAGACGCCAAATCTCAGTCCGCTCCTGGGGGCTCAGGACTTCTCCTCTTGCCATGACTCCCACCCCCCCGGCCTGCCCTGTCCCCACCCTCCCAGCTGCCTGAGTATTCGCAGGTGCCAGGAGGGTGCAGAAGGCCAGGCAGGTGCTGTGAAGGGAAACTAAAGCCATGAGGCTGTGGCAGTACTCAGTGAGTCTCTCTTCACGCCGCCCCCACTCCCGTCCCCTCCAGCATCCCCCAGAGCAAACGGACTGGAGGGCAGATGACTCAGGGTGGAAATCAGAGACGCCCCACAGAGAACTCGCCTGGGCAAGGAGTTTTCTGGCCAAGTGAGTCCCTGTTCCTGGTCCCAGTGGAGTGGGGACACCCTTTAATGACGAAAAGCCTGGACAGACTGGTAGCTATCCCTCCAGCCTCAGTTTCCCCAGCCTTAAACCAGTCCTGGGGACTTTGCACCTTAAGTTTTCCCAATCAGGACAGGGGTGAGCAGCCACCCACCCAGCCATACAGGGCCTGGCACCTGATGATGAGAGCCAGCTGCCCGCTTAGCCATCAGGAACCCCTCATGCCCCAATGGCAAGCTCCAATCCCTTCCCTCCCCCCCCTTCCCTCTCCTTCTTTCCCCCTTTCCCTCTCCACCCTTCCCTTCCCTCCCTTCCCTTGCCCCCTTGCCCCTTCTCTCTCTCTCTCTCATTCTTCATCTCACCCCTTCTCACTTCTCTTGTCTCTCTTTTCCTCCTCCTCCTTCTCTCTCTCTCTCTCTCTTTCTCTCTCTCTCTCTCTCTCTCTCTCTCTCTCTCTCTCTCTCTCTCTCTCTCTCTCTCTCCTTTCCCTTTCCTCCTTTCTTTCTCTCTTGTGGCAGGAATGGAAACAAGCACTTACCCTCCAAGCCGCACCCTGAGTCCTGCCTGATTTCTTGAGTGATGGACATGGGCTGAAATGGGCAGTGAAATTTAATCCCCCCCCCCCCCCCCAGAAGCCAATGAAGACTGGGCATCAGGTTCCCTGACTCCCCCCCACCCCGCCCCGCCCTGCTCTCCACCAAGGCTTCCTGAGTCAACGAGTCAACAGATGGATGGCAGCAGTGCCTGGGGCTCCCTACCAGCACAGACCTTCCCATCGGCATCCACGTGGGCCCAGACAACGCCTCCAGGTGGGCCTCCCGGAGCACCCGAGCTGCCTCTTTGATGACAAAGAGGAACAAAGCCAGACCCGGCTCACGGTTTCTCTCAGAATCCCTCCTCCCAGAACCAGCCCCTGCCCGGCTGATCCCACAAAGCCACTGGGGGCAGGGTCTTGGGGATCCAACCTCGGAGCTCCCCCACATCACCCTGGTAAAGACCCAGCTGCAACCCGGCACCCAGAGAGAATCGAGGAGCCCAGCCAGTTATCTAGGTTCTGCCCAGATGCCCCTGGGCAGGAAAATGCCCACAGATGTGGTGTCTCAGGAACGGGGGGGGGGGGGGGGGGGGGCACACTTGTAAACTCTCAGGAAGACAAAGCAGCCCTTGGCTAGCCACGCAGGTAGGTGCCTGCAACCTCCTGGGCGTTGGGGGTGACACAAGAGGCCAGCACAGCAGGCCATTGGGATATGCATCACTCAAGGCCTTTTCTTCTCTATAACCGTGGATACTGTCTCCAAACCACACCTGCCCGCATCCTGGTTTTTGGGTCACTTTTTGCTGTCTCTTGCGCTCTCTCTTCTCGTAATCTAAATATTCCTTCCAGGGTCGGTGCTCGCCCTGCATGCAGACAACCCCAGGTCAGTTCCTGGCACCACAAGAGGTCACTGCCAGGAGTGACCCCCTCCGCACAGAACCAGGAGCAAGCCCTGAGCACAGCTAGATGCACCCTCCCCACAAACAACAAATAGACAAATGCATATGCATACGGGAGCCAAATGCTGTGTGGGCAACCTTGCCTTCATTATCTTCGAGAGGGGCTGGGACGCAGCTGAAGGGGCAGGAGGGCGCGCTCACCTATGTGCGGGAGACCCGGGTTCGAGCCCCAGTAGGACCCCCATGGGCCCCTGAGCACACTGCCATCAGCACCGGGGGGCTGCCCAGAAAAGCAACCAACAAGAAGAGGGCCCGAACACTAAGTCCATTTAGTGCCCTGTGACCCTTGCAGCAGCCTTATCTGTGGAACCAAGGCCAGGCCCCTGACTAAAACTTCGAGCAGCCTCTCCCTGGGAAGTGTCACTGCTGCCTTGCCAAGTCACTCTCGTATCACCGCAGTTTTACAGAGGTGGAAACAGAGGCTCAGCAAGGTTAGGCAACTTGTCCGAGGTCACATAGCACAGAGTCCTAAGTGGGAACTCGAAACTAGGGAGATGGCCCCTTCACCGCTCCAGGAACCAAGAATAGGGGTTGGGGGTGGAAGTGCGGAACACGGTCTCCTTACAGTGGCTGCAGGGGGGTGGCGGGGCGGGCAGGTAGCTTGCTGGGCTCTCCAAGAATGGCGGAGGAATCGAAACCCAGGTCGGCCGCGTGCAAGGCAAAGGCCCTACCCGCTGTACTCTCGCTCCAGCCCGAAGGAGATAGAGCCTTGCTGAAATAGGGCAGCGGGGAGCTCCCCTCCTCTGGGACTCTGGGCCTGGGTCTCTTCTCCCCTCCTCTGGGACTCCGGGCCTGGGTCCTCACTCCCTCTGAGCTCTCTGCCTCTCAGTACCTGGGGCAGGCAGCAACATCTGTGAAAGCTGGGGTCTCTGCACCCAACCAGGACAGGGGCTACCTGGCTTCAAAAGCAAACCCCCTGCCTCGGAAACCACCTCCAGTCACGGGGGCGGTGAGTGCCCTGCACCCCAGCCCTCTCTCAGCAGGTGGGCATGGCAGAGAGGGGCAGCCCTGGGTGGGAATGGAGTAAAACAGGTGGGAAAAACGCAGAGGCTGGCGGCTTCCAGACCCGAGTTCCACTGGGAAGGCTGCAGTCACCCCGGGGGACCCAGACTAAATACAGGATGGGGTCTGCCGCCGGCCGTGGCTGAAGGACAGTCAGAGGACCGCCTGCCCGTGCCTCTTCTTCCTCACCCGCCTTCTGGGAATCGGAAGCCTGGCCCCAGCCGCTCTTCCTGGCTGCCAGCCCCAAGAATCACTGTGCCAGCGTTTGTTTTTTTTTTTTTTTCCAAGAGAAACAAGGCCAAGAAAACCCCAAGCACTGGTTCTGTAGCACCCGGGCGCCCCCAATCTCATCCTCCTGGCCCTGCCTTGGACTCGGAAACCTGCAGAGAGAAAGAAAACCCCAGACCACAGAATGCTGGAACATTCTGCCAGCAGGAGCCAACTTCAGCAGAACTTCCAGAAACCCCCAGCCAGCATTTCTCCAGCTCCCCACTGCCCCTATTTCAGCAAGGCTATATCTCCTTCTAGGCTGGAGCGAGGAGCACAGCGGGTAGGGTCTTTGCCTTGCACGCGGCCGACCGGGGTTCGATTCCTCTGCCATTCTCGCAGAGCCCAGCAAGCTACCGAGAATATCCCGTCTGCACGGCAGAGCCTGGCAAGCTCCCCATAGCAGATTCAATACGCCAAAAGCAGTAACAAGAAGTCTCACCATGGAGGCGTTACTGGTGCCCACTCGAGCAAATCAATAAGCAGTGCTACAGACAGTGCTACGGTGGTAGATCTTCCAGAACCACTAGTGGGTCTAGTCAAAGATCTTCCGGGTCGGCCCCCACACAAGGCAGAAAAGTAAATCCTTCGGGCATGCCTGCACGTACCTCATTGTCGGTGCTCTTCCTGTAGAGTGGAAAGCAAACCAGGTCCTCCCTCTGGACGGCAGATGTGTAGAGGGAGGCAGGGATGGAAGGAGGGAAGCTGGCGGCTTCGGCGCCTGTCAAAAGAAGAACCAGCTGTTTCAGGAAAAAGGGGGGCCAGGCAGCAGTCGGGGGCTTTGTTCCCGCCAACCCAGGGAACCCGGGCTGTTGATCGGGGCTGTTGACTCAGAGCGACATGCCACGGCAGAGAAGCTTCTTCAGCTGGACCGGCCCAGCCCCCCGCACCCCGGCAGAACTGCAGGCCCAAACTAGGCCCGTGGGAGCGTGGGGAGGCCACACACACGTCACCTACTCCCTGGCAAAAGTGGGAACCGCTGAGTCCAAACAGCCCCTAGTGACTACCACGGGCCAAAGGAGAAGTCAAAAAAAAAGAAAAACAAAAGGAGGAGGAAGGGGGCGGGGCGGGGGGCGTGGAGTGGCGGCTGGCGGCTCCCAGCTCACCTCTCCTCTACATCGTGGGCCTTCGGAAGTTGCTTTGTTTGAGTTTTTTCCCCCCTCGAACCACTCAGAAAGGTCAGCGAGGCCCAGCCCTTGCTCTCCAGCCTAATGATGCTTAACCCTTCCCACACCCACCTCTGCTCCCTAAAATAGATTTTTTTTTTCCAGCCTGAGGGAACCTCCAGAGAGTGGGGCTTCAAACATCCAAACAGCCACAAACTTAAAAAAATAAATAAATAAAAACCAAACAGATGGAGTCATTCTCTGATCTCCACTATGTCAAACGGGAGGACAGAGAGGGCTTGGCTGAAGCCCCCTACCCCCACCTCCAAGCTCACAGCGGCGCCCCCAGTGAGCCCCAGACACCTCCCCCAAAGCACTGTCTGAAAGCCCAGACTAAGAGAGGAGACCCAGCCAGACAGGAAGGAGTGGAGTTCTAGTCTCACCCCGAGCTCCCACCTAATCAGCCCCTTCCTCCTCTCCCCTGCTCCCCTGCCCCCCTGCCTGGAAATACAGCCAACCACTTGCATAAGTCTTCCCTGCAACTCACGCTGAACCAAGCTTCCCATACTAGATTCTTGTTCCACCCCAAAGCTACAGCCCCAGCAAACTGGACCTCGACTGAAACTCAGCTAGCAAAGATGACTGGAAGATTCATCATTCCCCAAGGTGGACATAGTTCCCAAGTCTCATCGTCAGAACACACACGTGGAGGGGCTGGAGGAAAAGTACAGAGACACTGGATATCTGCTTCACAAGCATGTGGTTATGAGTCTAAATCCCCAGGGACCCACATGTGCCAAGAAGTAGCCCTGCTTTTTTTTTTTAATGTAGGAGTAGTGCTATTTATTCAGCTATTGATTTTACTGACTGAATTGGTAGCCCTGCTTTCTGCACCATTTCACCCCACAAACAATTTCCAGCCACATCACCACCAATGAGGGGCAGGGGGCGGGGGGGGGGGGGGGGAGCAGCACTGGAAATGTGTGCAAGCCCGGGCAACTGAAAAAAGCTATGTGGACGCCACGGTCAGGGACAGTGACCCCCCCCCACCACCACACACACACACACACCATCACCACCACCACCACCACATGATCACGTGTGTGAACATCAGAGCAAGAAGCATCCCCGACCGAGTGCGCCTCCCCCCCCCCCCACCCCCCCCCCGTGAGCGCCCTTGCTAGAAAATGTGGGAGACCCAGAGCCGGGCATGCCAGCAACCCTCTGTCACCATGTCGACAGCAGCGGCCGCAAAGGGAAGGGGGAGGAAGAATAAAAACCTCATGCTTTTGGGGCTGGAGCAATAGCACAGTGGGAGGAGGGCGGTTTGCCTTGCACGCGACCAACCCAGGTTCGATTCCCAGCATCCCATATGGTCCCCTGAGCACCGCCAGGGTTAGTTCCTGAGTGCAGAGCCAGGAGTAACCCCTGAGCATCACCAGGTGTGACCCAAAGAGCAAGATAATAAATAGAAGATGTTGGGGGCTGGAACGATAGCACAGCAAGTAGGGCGTTCAATTCCCAGCATCCCATATGGCCCCCTGAGCACCGCCAGGAGTAATTCCTGAGTGCATGAGCCAGGAGTAACCCCTGAGCATTGCCAGTGTGACCCAAAAAGCAAAACAAAACGAAACAAAATAAAACTCACGCTGTTTAAAACACACAACTCAGGCAAGTGGAGCTGTCGAAGCGGCAGGGAGCAGTGAATGACTGGTGACTGTGATGCTGTCAACGTTGCTCCCCTTCAGACTGCCTGGTCAAGCTCATTCTGCTCCCCCCCACTACCCCGCCCTCTTCAGTGTTGAAGGCAGAAGTGGGGTAGAAGAACTAGGCGTGGGAATCAAGGAGGGGGTTCCTGGGGGACCAGTCCAGACCGCGCTTGAACCGGAGGGGGATGGGGAACATAAGTGTGTCTGCTCGGTCCAGATTCATCACCAGTGTTGCCTTACCTGGGATCCAGGCCAAAAAGGAGCACATGCCTGGCATGGGTGAGGCCCTGGGCATGCTCCCCAGAACCACACGCTCACTCAACCAGATCCCTGCCTGCTAGCCACTCTTGCCCTGAGCACGGACTGCAGGCCGCCGCTTCTTGCGCTGGCCCACCCCCCCCCCCCCCGCAATTCCCAGCTCTGCACTTCTCTGGGGGCTCCAGGAAGACGCAGTGTGTTGGATGGGTCCCACTCTGGAATCTCAGGAATCTGGCCTAAGGTGCAGGGAAGGGAAAATGGAGTTTGCAGGGCTGGATTTCGCCAATCCTCTGGCTCAGGGCTTCCTGTGTGGGTTTACTTTTTTTTTTTTTTTGGCTTTTTGGGTCACACCCAGTGTGCACAAGGGTTACTTCTGGCTTTGCATTCAGGAATTACTCCTGGCGGTGCTCAGGGGAACCATATGGGATGCTGGGAATTGAACCCAGGTCGGCCGCGTGCAAGCTCTCCCCACTGCAATCTCTCCAGCCCCTGCGTGCATTTACTTGGGGGTTTCCACAGCAGGCTCTCCCGAATCTCATGGGTCCCAGGCCTCACCCACAAAATACCAGAGAGGGAGAAACTCTCTGGGAGCTTGTTCCAAGTCCCCGGATGGGGGACCTGGGGCTTATCCTTCCCCTTTAGCAGAGTCTAGTGGGTTAACCACGGTCCGACCGAGCCCCATCACTTGAAGGAAGAAGACCCTGCTCTCTGGGGTCTCACACGCTTTTCTTCCTTTCCCAGGGCTGGCTCCGCTCTGGGTCTCATGCTCCCGGCAATGGGGTGCAGGCTGGCGGGCCTCCTTCCCGGAGGGGCAGGCGGCAGAGCCGGTGAGCCTCAGGCGCGTGGCTCTGCCTAGCCAAGCAGGCCGGAGGCCAACCCCAGGGAAGCATTTGCCCGGGCCCAGGCCAGAAGCCTCAGGCAGGGCCAAGGCTGCTGCAGCAGGGGGGAACCGCCTGGGCTTCGGGTTCCAGGGTCACTTCCTGCTGTGGAACGTGCAGTTTCAGATCGCACCTGCTTCTCGGGAGGGCACGAGGATAAAATGTTCTTGGCAGCGAGTACCGGACACAAAGGCTGCAGGTCATCACTTCTTATTTACTCTTAAATATATCTGGCGATACTGACTCTCTTAACTAGGTTTATGCATTTCCCCCCCCCCCCCCCCCCGTGTCCAGTTTGGAACCCAGCATCTCATACACGCAAGGCACATGACCTCCTGTCATGCCCATAAGAGACAATCATTGTATTATTTTCTCTGAGGGGATGGGAGGTTGGGCCCACACAGCAGTGCTCAGGGGATGACTCCTGGTTCTGTGCTCCGGGAACCCTCCTTGGTGGTGCTGAAGAGGATCAGATGTGGTGCTGGGGATCAGGTCTGCTGCTTGCGAAGCAAGTGCTTCAACTGCTGTACTAACCCTTTGGCCCCAGGACATTCATACATTCAACTTTGCCTGTGCTTGCAAGTCATAGAACAGTCTGGGTGGTTTCCGTGTGTGTGTGTGTGTGTGTGTGTGTGTGTGTGTGTGTGTGCCTTAATCCCCCTTCCCAGTGTGCATGAGGGGCTCTGATCACACAGCAGAAACAGTCATTCCCAGGCCAGACTGCCCACACAGCAGTGCTGTGGAATCTGGTTTGGTCTCTTTTTGCTGTGCAATCCTGCTCCACTCACTGAACTTCTCCGTGCAACCCATTTCAGCATCTGCCCACAGGGAATCATAGTTGGATGACACTTGCACATGGCAAAAGCAAAGAAAATATGACCCGTTATGGCAAGAATTCCGGGGCCTGAGGGGGGAGTGCTTGCCTGGCAGGCGAAAGGGCAGCGAGTTTGATCCCTGCCTGCACCCGCTATGCAGAGGGGTCCCACAGGAAAGTGAGTGGCCCCCCGAGACACCGCAGGCGAGTCTGTAGACCGTGAACAGGGTGGCGACAGCCAAATAATAGCCAGACATGGGAAGGGAAGGGGGGAGTCAGCAAGAAGCACAGAGCAGGCCATGGGTGGGAGCCGAATGAGGGGTGGCATTAAACAAATCATTACGACACAGTATGAGTCTAAAATCTAAGGACAGTAGAAACGAGGGCCAGGAGGACGGGGCCATGGCTGGAAGCTTGCCACAAGTGGGGTTAGGGGGGTGGGAGGGGAGAGAGGCAGTTAGGACAGAGAAGGGGCCACTCTGACGATGAGAATTGGAAATGATCACTCTGGACCAGTGTGAAAGGAGGTAAAGGGATACACATGACTTCAGCATTATTGCGAATCATAGTCCCTAAAAAGAGAAGAGAAGGAGGAGGAGGAGGAGGAGAAGAAGAGGAGGAGGAGGAGGAGGAGGAGGAGGAAGAAAAGGAAGAGGAAGAGGAGGAGGAGAAGAAGAAGAAGAAGAAGAAGAAGAAGAAGAAGAAGAAGAAGAAGAAGAAGAAGAAGAAAAGAAGAAGAAGAAGAAGAAGAAGAAGAGAAGAAGAAGAGGAGGAGGAGGAGGAGGAGGAGGAGGAGGAGGAAGAGGAAGAAGAAAAGGAAGAGGAGGAGAAGGAGGAGAAGAAGAAGAAGAAGAAGAAGAAGAAGAAGAAGAAGAAGAGGAGGAGGAGGAGGAGGAAGAAAAGGAAGAGGAAGAGGAGGAGAAGGAGGAGGAGAAGAAGAAGAGGAGGAGGAGGAG